GACTCTGATTGTTTTTTCTGCAACATACAATTAAAGAATACAAACATTACATGGAACATACAAAGAAAATGTAGTTGATCATGCACATTACCTGTAAATGTCATGCAAAATGTTCACTTTATCTTTACTAGTTTTTCATAATATAGTTGTATGAGAAAAATGCAAAAGGGGAAACTTTCAGGAGTAAACCACACATGACACATATTAACCTTATATAAAGATTTACTCCAGTTTTTTTCCATATGGGTGTGCAGTCCAAAGAACACAAGAAACGGACTGTTGGATTGTGTGAAATGAAATGTTTGTTTTGTATGTATCCGTGAAGACCATTCAAATGGCTCCGAGACTTTCCAGAGAAAATATTTCCTTGTCATGGATTGTGTAATACAGTGTTTCCCAAACTTTTTTTGTGGGGACCTATATTTTAAAAGTCACAAACCTTCACAGCCCGTCAATAAACATTATTCGTAAATCATAAAATAAAGTTGGATTTGAGCATTATTGAACATTAATGACGATATTTTATTGTTGACTGAGTGATCATGTCTCTGAACATTTAATAGTACTCAAGTTTGAAACAATGAAAAACAGTCATTGAAGCAGCAATAAAAGGATAAAAGGAAGGAAAGAAGTCACCCATTTGGACATTAAAAGTAGAAGATTTCTTTTTTCTTTTCAACATTCAATACACGCATCAAGAATCTCAGACTTCCGGTCATTGCGCAATTCATACTGGGAAGGATTTTCTGAAAAAGTGAGCATCAAACCTCCATGTTTGATTTTACAGTGGGATGTGTCTATTGACAAAGTCGATCTTTTCTAGTCTTTTGAACCATATCACTTTTATTTCTGATTCTGATATTGTCATATTTTAGTTTTGGGATTCGGACATCGTAATTGTGGTTGTTGGATCCTAACAGCGGAAAACAGCTCGAGAAATGTGTTTGTGAACTCCATAAATGCAAAAGGGAATCAGATGTGTGTGACTCAAACCTCTGTTCAAACTGTTTTTCTTCCCAGCGGAATTGAAAAATAGTGAAAGGTGAAGGTGATGGGCAGGATTGATCCACGGGAAGAACGAAAAAGGAAACCTTTGACTGCCTAGATCATCCCGAGTTTGCAGTGAACATTTTGTATGTGGAACCATCAAAGCAAAATCCCAATCCCTCAATCAGCCTCAGTTATGAATTTAAAAAGTCAACGCCAAAGCAAAAGGCACCAGCTGTTCACCAAGAAACACCTTCCACTGCAAAGAGACCAAGACGTGATGTTGTTGTAAAACCACAAGAACAAGAAAGTGCAGCTCAGTCTGTTTGTCTTCTGCACCTCTCGCTTAACAAACGGGATCCTACTTTGATGGCTCCACATACAAAATGTTCGCTGCAAACTCGGGATGATTTAGACAGTCAAAGGTTTCCTTTTTCGTCTTTCCCGTGGATCAATCCTGCCCATCACCTTCACCTTTCACTATTTTTCAATTCCGTTGGGAAGAGAAACAGTTTGAACAGAGGTTTGCAGTCACACACATCTGATTCCCTTTTGCATTTATGGAGTTCACAAACACATTTCTAGAGCTGTTTTCCGCTGTTAGGATCCAACAACCACAACAATTAACGATGTCCGAATCCCAAAACTAAAATATGACAATATCAGAACCAGAAATAAAAGTGATATGGTTCAAAAGACTAGAAAAGATCGACTTTGTCAATAGACACATCCCACTGGGAAAAAAAACATGGCGGATTGATGTTCACTTTTTCAGAAAATCCTTCTCAATTGCGCAATGACCGGAAGTCCGAGATTCTTGATGCGTGTATTGAACTTGCAATACTGGAACAAAATAGTCTGTAGAACTGTATATCCCAGAGCTACATGCACAAGGCGACCCAGTGTTTGGGAAACAATGGTATAATAAATATTGCAGTCTCGAGATTTTGGGGCATTATTTATCTAAAGGTCAAAAGCATAGTTTACATTATAATAAATTTTATTGTAAAGAAAAATAGTCTAAATGTCAATAAGATATGCAAAAGACAAAGCAATTTTTATCAGAAGGACTTTTTGAGACATCTTTTAATCGTGTCTCCAAAACCTGAAGTTGTTTGCATTTTGAAGCTCTGAAGCATCTTATTTTTTGGTTTTCAATATCTTATCAAATTTTATTGCATCTTGATTTAATCTGATGTTATGCTTTGCTTTCCAATGACAAACACAAGTTCTTTTTATATTTTTGTAAAACCTGCAGATCATTTATTTATTTATTTATTTTACTTTAAAAAGAAAAGCACTTAAACAATGACGCTTTAGTATTTTCGTACATTTTTTGTTTTATTTTTGTGTTTGTTTATGCTGCTGGAGGAGATGAATGAATCACAAAAACTTGGAATATCATCTTTCCATGACAAATCGGCTTTGGTTGAAGGGCTCTAGAAAGTCATGTTGAAACTTGTACAGTGATGCATTTTGGGTAATGAAGGAAGAATGTGAAGATGTTTTGTGTAACTGTGCACAATGTTAATTGTTATTCATTCGTGACGATGTGATGTGACGATGGGGTGTTTTTTCTATTGATAAAGGACTACATTCATACTATAATACTCCCTACAACTGTGCAACAACTCACCCTTATGGAACAAATAATACTCCCTACAACTGTGCAACTCACCGTCATGGTGAGTATGAAAGTGGTGTGTGTGTGAGTGATGGTGGTGGTCTGAGGGACCAATGGCGCCAAATGGCATGGCAGCCGCACTTCTCTCAGTCTGCCTCAGGGCAGCTGTGGCTAAAATAGTAGTTTACCATCACCGGGTGTGGATTGAATGAATAATGCTGAATAATGCTCTGTAAAGGTCTTTGTGACATATGTCTGTGAAAAGCGTTATATAAGTAAGACTTACTTACTTACTTATGGAACAGATAATACTCCCTACAACTGTACAACTCACCCTTATGGAACAGATAATACTCCCTACAACTGTGCAACAACTCACCCTTATAGAACAAAAAGTTATTCAATCAAAATAAACTTTTGTCCAGTTGACAAATTTGAGTTTCTCCTTTGCCATGGATTCCTCCTAGATGACTGAGGGATTTTACACACAAAAAAACTGTTATCAGCTGAAATTTACAAACACTGGTACTTTAAAATCCATGTGCATCTCAGTGTAGAGTTAATCTGTGGAATGGATTATTAGAAGAACTAAAAGTGTGCAGGAGCTTGGTCCAGTTTAAAATGTTATTTAAAAGAGAAATACCTGGATGAGACTCTGGTATGTCAGAGGGCGGGCGGTGTGTGGTACGAGAGTGTTGGGCCAGTGTTGTATCTGGATGAGTGTGTGAATGTTTGTTTTTTTTGTCTGTCTTGTCTTGTCATGTCACTTTCTAATGAAAGTGTTGATTTATGAAGTGTGGGAGAGGAATGGAAAGTACTAACATATACATGAACAGTCACACGGACAGTTGCTCCCTCTTTTGTGCATCGCTCAAGGAAAAACAAAACCTAAAACACAACTTTGCTTCATCCATCTCCTTTTCAAACCATGCAAGTCTGTACTATATGTGCAGGTTTGAAATAAATAACTAACTATAGAAATTCAATCTTTCAAAAATGTTCTATTAGAACAGCATATTTAAACTTCCCTATTAGTCCAAAAACAAAAAAAGAGACATTTCAAGATCCTGAATGATACATCCATCTGGTGAACTGCTTTTAGAGAGAGATTTAATGTTGAACAAAACAAATGTAGTTTTTGTAAATCTGACATTGCTGGGCTTCAGATGACATCACGGCTTTCTATGCATAGGCTCCATTCACACTTACTGGAAGACGTTGGAAACATGCAGAGGAGGACTTCCGGTGTAGTTCCTGACACTGGGCATGTGATAAAACCATGGATTCTGCAGCAGCATCTTCACAACCTGCCAAAGTTTTCCATGGGGGATGTGACTCTAACGGCAGCTTTGATGTCACTTAGGCCCCGTTTACACTTACACCGGTAATTAAAAAAAAAATTGAGACAGATTTGCCTTTGTTTGTGCCCATCTTTTACATGCAAACAGCGAATTCACCTCTGAAAACGAATCTATCTAAAAACTCCAGCTAGAGTGGAGATTCTGGAAAACTTGTTAGACGTTTGTGTGTAAAATAAGATAGATGGAGTTTAAGGAGTTGACGTGCCAAAAGTGCGACCAGTGTTTTCCCTTTTGCTCTGATGATGATGATGGAGCATTCAGAGCTGCAGTGGCATTTCTTCTTTCTTCACTTTTCATGTGTTTACATTTGCACACACAGCTGATGAATCATATCCATGACCAGAAACCAATGAGGCTCGGAGGTCACCAATTTTACCACTTCTTTAACAGATCTGTGGAGAAGCGAGCGCGCTCAGTACTGCACGTTGTTTTTCACAGTATTTGTGAGTAATACTTACAACTGTAATGAAATAAATGCTGCAGGTTTGAATCTAATCCAAGCAGCACCCAGAGGCTTGGCATAGTTATGACGGCGCTCGATGGGAGTATTTATGCGGGTTGTAAACAAAAACTTGTAAACTATGTGCACAATGTTATTTTGGAAATGGAGGGAGGGAAAGATTAATTTCTCAAAATACAGGCAGCTGGTTGTAACTGTTGACCTGCTGAACATAACACTGCAACAACATCTTTTTTTTTCTTTTATTAAATTAGACAAATTATAATACACACAAATTAATAGGCAATTTATAAAAGGAAAAATGAAAGAAGACAAAAACATCTAGATTGTGATGTAAGTGTATTGAAAATGCTGGGTTTAACATTTGTGAGTTCACCTTTTGGATATTTCATGGGAAAGTACAAAGTATTTTTACAATTTTTATCGAAGCATGTATACAGAGGCATTCTGGGAGGACCTCTGGGAGTGGCTCTTATCAAAAAATTCTACTCCAACAGGACAGGTTAACTTGGGTCAGGATTATTTTTGGCATCAGCCTGAAGGACATACAAATAAAAAAAAGGACGAGTTGTAATAAAAATGTATTTTATTGTTAAGAAAGTGTTTTACTGAAATGTAAACGTGCTCTGTCTCTTATGAAAACTTTTGAAAACTGTTGCCTAACGACCAAAAAGCACCAAAGGGTTTTAACAAGTGCCAAAATCTGTTTAAACTGCACAATAACTATAATAACCAATTTTGTTAACTGAAGGTTTATACTTCCTTGTGCGTAAATTGTCTCTGCATTTTCGAGGGATGACATGGGTCAAATCGACATCCTGTAGGATATTTTTGTACTTTTCTCATCCACTTTTTTCCACAAACTGACGCTTAACTGATGGAAAACTTACTATCCCACCAAACCAAGCCAGAATTAGAAAAACATGAGGACCTGGCATACGCACTTTAAACACAAAACATTACAGCGTTATAAATGTTTTATTTATTTGTGGGTTGAGTTGTGATATGTTTAGACCTTTCTCTTAAATGTTTTTCGAGGTTTGAAATATTTGGCAGAGTTCATGGTCTTTTGCGTTCGGGGTTTTGAGCCACAAACAGAGCCACAGTCCCTTCGTCTCGCTGCCACTGGTATCTGCAAACACACAGACAGGATAGTGTCACTGACTTCAAACTGGGACATATTGTGCAAAACCTACTTTGAAAATGCCTGTTTTCACCTACCCCCCATACACACCCACTGCCCTGTACTTATTTTGCTCTACTTTCATTTATGAAGTCATTTTAGATGAATGCTGTAATTTAAAATATCAAAATTTGACTGTATTTTTCTGACTATAAGTCGCACTTTTTTCATGGTTTGGATGTTTCCTGCGACTTAAACTCTGGTGCGACTTATATATTAAAATGTTCACACTGAAGCATCGAGAGGCTCTAGTCTTGTGTGTGAGTATCTGCTGCTCCTTTTCCTCCTGTACCACTGTCACTTTACTCTACTGCACATGTCTCCTGCAGAAAGAGCCTCTGTTGTCTGTATCATGTCAGTCGATCGCACCATTACTTCTGCAACACTGAACAATTTAACATTTAAACAAACACTTTTAGAAAGATGACTGAGAAGACTGAACGCAAATGCCCCCAAAAACAAAATCATATTTTGCAGATTACAAACTGCAAGTCGTGAAATCTGCAGCTGAAAACAATAATCGAGCAGCAGAAAAAAAATGTTTGGAGTGAGAGAGAAATTTGTGACACCAGGAGGATGCACCATGAAACTTTCCTGAAGTCACTGGATGGATGAACAAAGTCTGGACTTCAGTGACACCGAAACCATCCTGTCGGGATTCAGAAAGACCAGAATAATTCTAACTGGAACTGATGCTGAGTCTGACGACAGCGACACAGAAGAGGAAGTGACGCTCTGTTTACCTCCGGAGGTCGAGGCCGAGTTGTTCAGAAGTGACACCGAGGATGAAGAATTGAATGGATTTAGTGATTTGGAGTGAGATGGAGAGTTTGGTAAATTTGTTCTGTTCTGTTGTTTATGTTATAGTTTATCTGAAGAACTGTTCATATGTGACATTAACAGTCTGTTGTTCTCTCTTCTATTATTATTACTAGAACTTGACTTTCAAGAGGAAATGTCGGTTCCTGATCTCTGATTTTATAAAATACATTTCCCCCAAAAAGTGCGACTGATATATGTTATTTTTTCTTCGTTATGCATTTGTTAGCTGGTACGACTTATACTCCAGAGCGACTTATAGTCCAAAAAATACGATATATAGCAGACTCAAACACAGTATGTCACAGTATGTTACACATCAGGTCTGGCGAAGGGCGAGTTCACTCACAATAACAAAGGCAAGTTTTCAAGGAATTTTTTTAGCACCACAAACATCTGTAATTGAATAAAGGCATAATGCAAACTTTTAATGCCATATTGTGGGACATTCCTTGCAAACCACTAACATGGAGACAAGCAGGTGGCAGATGCTCCTTTTGAAAAGTTACCCAGTGCAGCTTTAAATGCATACTCACGAGTTATGTTCAGGGATCAACAAACTGTCCCCAGTCTTCAGCCTGTACTGGCTCTCACTCATAGTAACAGTCGACTCTCCCTCCTGAAACACAAACGTCATTTATATCGCAAAGTTGAACGACCTTTGGGAAATATTTCAAAAGTGTGTATTTATTCACGTACAAGCTGCCAGATCCACGCGTCACTTTGTCGAGTCGTGTTCTCCGTCCGCCCGGGGCCAAACACCATCGCCTGAACACACAAATACAATACAGTCTGAGGATACACTGCACACTAGGTTTGCTTTGATTAAACATTAAATCAAAGTTTTTTCCTTGAGCAAGACACTTCACGCACCTTGCCTAAATCTGTTGTTGATCAGTTATAGTACCAATACTGATAGACTATAATATAACATATAAAATGAAATGTCTTTGGTAAATAATGGGGAGTGCTGATATGTATGGACTGGCTATGGACTCATCTATGAGACATGTTGTTGTTTGTTACTATTTACTATTTACTACTAGTTACTACTTACTTACTACTACACATACAAAACAAAGGTCAAATTAGTTCAAATTCAGGACAGAAGTGACGCACACAGATCTGCTATTTCACTTTCGTGACTCAACTTTGATTTTGAAAAAACTTACCCAGTTAACAACATGCCAATAGATATTTTTGATGTGGGAATTTTTACATCTGGTATTAATTTTATTCAACTTCACCATTCACCATGGAATACTTTATTGTTTATAAAGGCACACTCTAAATTGTGTAAATAAAATCATTTAAAATGAGAAGATTGGTATCAGGATGAGATTGGTATCAGGATTGGTAAATGTTAAAAAATCGATATTGGATCAGGACCCAAAAAAATTGATGGGGACGTCCATACTACTACTATTACTACTGCTACTACTACTACTACTACTACTACTGACTGGGTTATCAAAAGTTATAGATACTTTATATAATGTGTCCTTTTTTAAATAGGCTTACATTGTTAATATTTGAATTACAAGCAGAAATCTTCTAAGTCACCAATTCTTTTGGACATTATTTATGTATTAAGGAAATGTAAATATGAGCTTTAGTCTCACCTCTGTCTCAAACTGCGCTCCGAACAGGTCGAGGGGTCCTCCTCCTCTCAGAGCCGCGCGGTGTTTGTTTAACCAGGATTTAAAACTGAACGGAGACATGACGTTCATCGTGTTCATGTGAAACGGAGGGTCCCTGAATGTCTCAGCTGCAGATATACACACACACACACACACACACACACACACACACACACACACACACTGTAAGTTTCTTTTACTATTAGTCCAGCCTAAACCCAAACTTTAAAGGGCCCACATGACGCTATTTTTGATGTCTGTTCTAATGTTGATCCCTCATCACAAACAGACCCGAGGTGTGTTTTGTTTCATTCACACTTGTTTAACACTCTGTTCCACCTTTATAAACTCCACACACCTTGACTAGAATCATTTGGGTAATTTCAGATCCGGAATTGCCAATCTAAAAAGGTAAAAGGAGCTGTTCACTTGAAAACTACCACTTCATGACATCACAAGGTGGAACAGAACATTTTGAGCTTTAGAGATGTAGACATACTAATAATAAATGATTACTCAAACATATGTGAATGAAACAAAAACACAAGTCTAGGACTGTTTATCATAAGTTAACAACTTTATAACATGGCTTAAAGCTCACAAGAGTTAAGTTTGCATAATATAGGACCTTTAACCTAAATTAACCCACATCTTAACTTTTTTCTTTGAATATTGAAGGATTTACCTCATGGTGACCTACTAAGTAATGTGTTACATGAAGTGATTACGTAGAGTGAAGATTTCAGTCTCCACACTGCAATGAATGGTTGTAGGTGAGTTTTAAAGCTCCACAGTGTATTTTTTTAGTCAAAAATAAGGTCAAACGTTTTTGTGTGTGTTTTCTTTTTATGTTTTTTATTGTGCTGAAAAACATAAATGTGTTCTTAGTGTAAGCGAGCTTGCATCTCCACAAACCTAACTCTTATTAGGCCTGGAGGAGGGTCTTTTACTGCTTGTTTCTGTGAAAATTGTGTCACTTTGGCTATAATCTTCCACAATATGGCACAAATCATCTATCTCCCTAGAGAATGTTTTAACTTGATTTTAAATTTCAGTTTCCATGGAATCAGGCAGGTGACATGCCACATCCAGAAAGTTATGCAGTGTTGCTTTAAACATATTTATTTTTTTTGTTAAATCTTCAAATAATGTAGGCCTATATGTTAAGGAAAATGTGTTATCCTTTGCTGGAAACAGTGGGAGTGAATTTTTTGGCAGCGGCTAATCTATCAACAAGGTGCTACGATGGAAACAAATAGTGCATGAAGATTTTCTGTTTTGTACTCTTGGAGTAAATACTTACTAGGATCTGGTCGGCCTGTTTTGGCCTGTTTTGATGCCATAAACCTGTGTAATAGAGATGTGTTTAGTGAGTGGAAATAAAGACTTTAAAATTAAAATAAAATCATCTTTCTTTTGTCTTACTCTTGGATGATGGGCACCAGCTGAGTCCCCAGGTTCTCGCAGTAAAACCACCTCTCGAACAGAAGATTAGTGGTGTTCGCCACATAATACCTGGAACACACACACAGCACTTTACTACAAACACAGAGTACATGAGAAGGATTCATGAAACACACTGATTCATGAACTGAACCAGGTCTTTCAGTAATACACAGATATTTGAGCCAAGAGAAAAGATGCATGGAAACAATTCATTAAAGGAATGTTTGAAAAATATACCATAGCCTGATACAGAACACAAAAGTGAATAGGTATAAAATGCAGACATATTTTTCTTCTGCATTTAGTCTTCTTTTCTCATATTTTTATAGAACTCACGACGTTACAACTCCCTGAAAACTGAGAGAAAACTGTTACTGTTCTGCCTCCTAGTGGCTAAACCTGTAAAATTCAATTAGTAGTTTTTTTTGTTTGGTTTGTTTGTTTGGTTGTTTTTTTTTTTTTATATAATCTAACCAAGGCTCAAAACTGTTACCCCTGCTCATTCATACATAAGGCTAATATGGTTGATCAATTCAAACAGTGTTAAAATTTTGCAGATATAGAAAACCCTGTATTGCTTAAAGCTCCTATAATATTGTTTTTGAAATTATCCTACACATCCAGCCTGCCTCCCTCTCCGGAGCTAAAAAACACACACATGTTCCACTTTGTGACCTCACTGGATGATCTTAAGTAGAGATCGACTGATGTGTTTTATTTTTTCATGGCTGATGCCGATTGCTTAGAATAAAGAGTGACAAATGATGGCCGATAAGCTTTGATAATTGTACGGCCGATTTTGAACATTTTCCTTGAACATCTAACGTTAAGCAGTGCTCCTAAACATTTCTTTAATGGACAATAGAATCCATTTATAACTGAGTGGTATTTTTTATATATATTTTATATATTTTTGTAGTTTTGACTTTTTATATACCTGATGATGTCCCATAGTTCTAACACTGCCATCTTGAGGCATGTCTCAGGTAGTATCCACAGGTGAATCTCCACTCCTCCTTTTCCAGGTGGATAAGCCCTATTGGTGGATTTCTTGTATTTAACGCACATGGTTTACTCATAATTCTGTTTGTCCCCTGACGAAAGTCATAGGCTGAAATGCGTCAAGACTTTGTAAGTTTTTCATTAAGACGTGCCATAAATTAAAAAACTCAATTTATTTTAACCAGTGAGTGCCTTGGGTTTTTTGCATTTTTTAACTGACTTATCTTCCCAAAGAGCACCACTGAGTTCTATCTACTGTGTATTATCCTCTGGAGGTCCAGGAAGAGCTCCTTTTGAAACCTTTTTCTTAAATAATGAATTGAAACTCGCACGTCAGAGAGAAGGGTTTAACTGTTTTTACTAGTTTTGCAGACAACATTTTAGCAGTAAGTGAATACCAATAAAAAATTTAAAAAAACTTTTAAGCCCAGCCTTAGTTCTAGACACCAATATTATGGAGTTTCTGATGCACAGCACCACAGTACAATGCATCAGTCTGTACACATTGACTTTGTGTACGGATTATGCTCCACAATTAAACCTGCACTGTCTATCTTACCACAACAGAATGTGAAGTGAATGAATAATGCACAAAACTGTAACAGATTTTTAGACCATAGACTGTATAAAGAAGTGGACTAAGGGAGTGTGACGTCACTCATAGCGTTTGGCTCCAGTCAAATGAAGCTCACCGGGGCTGCAGTTGTAGGACTAAATTTACAGCTGAGTTCCATATGAGGAATAGGAATGGATTTACAGACAAATTATCAAAATGTATACATGCAGTCTATGCTTTAAACTCATGATGTTTTACACTCACGGTTTTAGTTCTACCTGAGACAGTCTGTTTCACTGAGCAGCCTCCTCCTCTCCACCACCAGCCCCACAGTGTCTGCCTGCCTCTGCGGAGAGTGAGGGATCCGGGCCGGTAACAGGAACATCTAAAGAAACAGAAAGCTTATTTAAATATACAGCACATTGCACAAACTGTGTGTGTTATGTTCCAGCTCGGGCACTCCCCATACTGAAATCTGGCGAAAGACTCCATCTACTGGTGGCAGAGGGCATTACCATGGGAAAAAATCTAATCATAGCAGCTCATGTCTTGGTCATATTTTTGGTAAATGTTCACATTGTTATACAGCGCTTTGCCAACTTCAAGGCTCAAAGCGCTTTACAACAAGGAACACTCACCTATTCACACACACATTCATACACCAGTGTATGCAGACACTGGGAGTGAGGTAAGTTTTAGTGTCTTGCCCAAGGACATTCAACAGTGGGAGATGGAATCACACCATCCAACCTGTGGGTCAGTTCAGGCCGTTCCCTGTCTGAAACTCTGCTACTCAAATTGGACTTTAACCTGGCCTGTATTTCAACATAATCTGTCCAGAAACTTAAAACTTTTTGTCTGTGTTTGCCAACGTGTGATTATGTCACCATGGAACCTGCTGAATATTCCACCATAGGCAAACATGCAGAACGCCTCTAACATGATGTCCCGGTAAAGTATCAATAATAGGGCTGCAGGTATTAATCGATTAATCAACTGGGTGATTATAAAAAATAAGTATTTTTGACAAATGCTTAGAAACAAGTCTGGGGGTGATTTGTGAATTTCAAAACTGCACAGGGATTATACCTGTGATGCAACAATCCTCAGAAAATTCTAACATATTTTCTGAGGTTCAGATGCAAAGGACTTTTTACAGAAGATTACTGAAATCTATAGGGACTATGACACTTGTACGGGGTATTAATTGTTAACACATAATATATTTAGATCCCCATCTTTTATTGTTTTGAAAATGCTATATTGCTGAACACAATCTATTAATATGTTTAATAAATTAAACTTTTGTCTCTCTTTACTCTCTGCACTAGGTCACAAGAGAGATGGCCCAAAAGAGATTGCTAAATTACTCAAACATGCATGAATGACATCTAGAACCTCTTTAGGCATGTTTTTGATGAGGGAACAATATTCTAACATGGAAGAAAGCTCAAAAAAGTCCATTTTGCATCATTTATATTAAAGATGATTGTGTTTGACTTGAATCGTACCTCTCCCTCCTTAATGTGGACGTCTTTGTGTCGCCCGTTCTCCACCACCTTCAGGCACATGTCACCCTTCACCTGGTAGAACAGCTTCAGGAGACAAGAACACACATTTACTACAGGCACAACATAGTGGCAGCTTCATTGTAATAGACTCTGTGCACAAGAGCGTCACCACTTTGTGTCCATTTATGCATCTATGTTTTTATGTTTGTTGCTGAGTTGTGCTAAAACTAATACATATTTAAAGACAAGGCATTGGACACAGAGTTTAGACCCACTAACGTTAATTTTGAGGTATTATGAATATTAAAACAACTCCACAAACTGAAGTCATCTATATTTAAAAATAATTGGGTAGTCTAGCTAAATGATCACTAGACCCATACTTCTATCACTAAATAAACCTTTGAACATAGAACACTTGCATAATAACGAAAATGTGCAAGTCATTTGGGCTGGAAGGACACTTTCACATTAAAACAGCCAAAATACTGTCACCAGCCAAACAAACCCAGGCTGAACTTTGACCCTGTGTGAAGAGGAGGAGGAGGAGGAGGAGGAGGAGGAGGGGTCTGAAGTAAAGCACATGTTTAATGAGACGAAACATGAAACACTTAATAGATAAACACGTGCACAACTAAATATGTGCTGTTCCAAACTCAGCCGTGTAAATGTGAAGATCTCAATTCGCTGGAATGATTTCAATTGTCTATTTCAGGTGTTTTGAATAAAAGACAATGTGTATTTTCTATCTTGCTTGATTTGACCTTCAGATATCCCTGACTGGTTTCAGTACTGCAAAATGACTAATGCAATCCCATAAAAAGAAAAACTTATCTAGATAATGCTATTAATAGATAATGCTATTAATAGGTAATATTTGCTGTTTAATAGCAAATGTTCCTTTTTAAAATAATAATAATAAATGTGTCATTTAAATACAATATTTTTCGCTGTTTGAGTAATAACTTAGAACTGATTATAACTAAGTATGTATTTTTGTAAAAACTGCACTATGCACCTTTTATGGCCACCTGCTTGTTTCCATGGTGATGTTTATTTATTTATTTATTTAATGAGACAGGGACAGTGCAATTTTTTCACATTACATTACCTTAACCTACATTCACATTATGTTATTGCTTTGCGTAAGGCGTTAAATTCATTTATCTCTACAGATCAGGTGATGTTACCAGCTCAGATCTGTGGCAAGGCCAAGGTAAAGTCACTCACCGTAAGAAGGCATGTTTTTCATGTGTTTTAAAATTAAGTAATAAAAAGACCTGCGATTAAATTGGCGCAAGACTGTGGTAATACCTCTGACACCACTCCACAGTGTTAGTATTATTTCATTTCATTTACATTAAGTTAATTACAGCACATATAGTTTAATTTAATTCCTTTATTTAGACTTATATTCTAATTTGTGTGCACACATTTTAGTTAATATAAGTCTAAATTATTTACTTACACAGTTTTTTTTTTATGTTTTGTTTGAGTGGCCAGACGGAGGAGCTTTGGCAGAGACCATCCTTGTCGACCAATTTAATAAACTATTTATTTACTTTTACAAAGTTCGGTTTGTCTAGTTTGTTTAAGGTCATTTTATTATCACTTATTATTTTCTGTATTATACTTATTTGCCTTTTTGTTACTTTGATTAAGTTAGTAGTTTTAGTTAATTATTTAGTGTAATTCTCCCATCTTGAGTTCAGTTTTAGTTTGTATTTAAACACCCTTGTTCTTTGTCTGGTTGGGTTAGTTTTGTTCTGTTCAGTTTGATTTAAGTTGGCCCTGGCTTTTTATTAATGATTTACTTAATTTGAGCCTTTGTTAAATTACATCTTTTTTTTTTTTTACTTCATTAAATTTAAACTTATTTTTATACCTTGTATTTGCCTTTCTGTTTGGTCCACTCCAAAGACAGATCATGTAAAATACACTGTTGAACTTTCCAAGAAAACCAATAATATCTCCATGGAAATAAGCATACACTGGAAATGTTACATAGTGAAAATAAAGGTGTTTTCTTACCTCTTCTCCTTCCTCTATGTGATAATCTTTTCTGATATTGGGTCCACCCACAAACATAATATTGAGCTGAAGGAAGTGCCTGCAGAAACAAAGCAAAAACACACTTATGTTTTTAGCTTCTTTTAGTTTCTAATTTATGCAACAGCGGTTACTCACATGAGCTTGTTGCAAACCGGTGGGTTAAACGAATGCTTGTTGGCCTCGATCCATTCCTCTACATTGACAAGAAGAGAGTCGTCAGTCATGGTGAGAGAAAAAGTAAGTAAAAGAAAAAAGTAAGTAAAAAATTGCCCCATATAGGCAAAAAAGATTAGAGATTAAAGATTTGCTGGATGGAGCTTTGGTTAGCGAGGTGAGCTGCAAAAGTCCAAAATGCACAAAGGGGCGTGTGCAGAGGTGGGAGGCGTACTTAACTGTTACTGTGGACTGGACTGTGACCCTATCAGGAGTCAATGAACGGAAAGTAAACACGGCAGATGCAGCTTTCACGTGGGATTTACACTTGAATAATTCTTGGTTTTCAGGTTCCTCTTATTGATACTCTGCAGGTGATGTCATTAATATTCCCGAGGGTATGATGCTAACTGAACTAAACTGAACTTTAATCTGAGTTTTGTTGTAACATAATCAGAGCATAAAGAACTGACTTAACTGGAACAACGGGTAATCACAAGACAACAGTTTTTCAGTTCATCATTTTCACCTTTTTGTTGAAACTCAAACACCTAAACAGGACAATGAATGTTTGTATTGATCACAGGCTCCTGAAAATGTGCTCTTTAAATCCATTTTGCATTTTTTCTAATGTGGGCATTGTGTTACCATGGTAACTTTGAAACATTCCACCATTAGAGATACATGTAGAACACCCCCAGCAAGATGTCACTGCAAAGTATCAACTGCAACACTTTTTCCCACTCAAAATAAATGTAATAGTTTGTGTTAAATTGCTAATCACTATGGTAACAGTTCGAATCTATCATCAGTCTGAACCCATAATGTACAACAGACTACATGGTGGCACAATATTGCAAAAGTGTTTCTGTGTAAAGTAAAGCCTGCATGTATTCCCTGGTTCTCAGAATTTTTTCTGACATCAAGCACGAAGCGCCTTAACAACAATAAAAAAAAAAAATCTTGCTGTTAAACAACCACCAGATCTAAACCAATGTTGTCGCATTTCTATGAAAGTTATCTCAAAACGAGGCAATAATCTTAACCATAACTCTAATGAGGCTCTAATCTTCCCGCTACAACAAAACCATAAACTGAAACAAAACTGTGTAACAAGGTTTTGACCTTGACACAACAATAAAGTGCTGCATTCCAGCCGTCCTCAGAGGTCAGATCTCACACCATCGTCCACAGAGTTCATTAACCAAAATGCTGATCCTATTAAGTTAATGCAGTTAAGTCATTCATGGATCACAATATAAAAACAACCTAATCAATAAATGTATAGGTCTAATGATTAGAATATGAACATTTCATATTTGCAAATGCCAAACCTAAAAATGTGCATTCTTTTTGTTATTCCATGACTTTTAAAAACATTTTTAAAGCTTGATCAACTTTGAAAATGCACGAATTGTTACATCTATAAGATGATAGCAAAATAGGAAGCGAGTACAGGCACACTTCCAGGTCCAGTTCACTTTGTACTGAAAAACTGTCCCCGGTCTCTGTAACTGCTGCTGTCAGGCTCCTCATTTTGGTCTTAAAATGTTCGTATTAACCTGCTCTACATGATTCTGAACACGACTCCAAATTCACCCCTATAACTGCCAGCCTCTGTGAGCTTCATCTCACTGGAGCCGCATCCTGTGGGTGACATTACAATATCACACTCCCTTAGTCCACTTCTTTATATGAGAAGCCAACTGTTTGTATTGAAAGTTCAATCAGTGTTTCCCACATGATAATATATATGAGACTATGGTGGCACAAGTGATCCATATTTGAATCCATTTCATTCAGTACAATATTAGGGTGACCAGTTTTTCAAACTTAAAAACTGGGACACCCCCAGTTTGGAGAGGTTGGTAATAATAAAAAACTGTGAAACAAATGCGTTACTTGTTTTAAGTTTTTTATTGTTTTTAAATTTGGGGGGCAAAATTTGACTTTGGGGGGCCACCATAGACTCCTTTATTATTGAAAACACAGGTTCAGTATTACTAAAAACATGATTTATACTTATATGTTGCTTAGGGTGACCAGATTTTTAAAATTCTAAACTGGGGACACACTGGGGTTTGGATGGTTGCTATAAATAAAACTGTAAAAAGAGCATGTAAGATTGTACGTTCTCGTGTCAGTCATAATGGGAGGGACTTTTGTTGCTGCATTTTTTATTTTATTTTTTTTGCTTCACGGTCATTCCCATTTTCTGTGTTTTGGCAAAACTAATGATAATTTATGCTCCTCGTTACTGTTTGCAGGGATCAGATTAGCCAAAAATTGTGATAGTCCTGGTTTAGACTTGATGTAGTCCTGGTTTAGTCTCAGTTTGGTCCTGGTTTAGACCTGATGTAGTCCTGGCTTAGACCTGATGTAGTCCTGGTTTAGTCTTAGTTAAGTCCTGGTTTAGACCTGATGTAGTCCTGGTTTAGTCTTAATTTAGTCCTGGTTTAGACCTAATGTAGTCCTGGTTTAGACCTGATGTAGTCCTGGTTTAGTCTTCGTTTAGTCCTTAGTTTAGTCCTAGTTTAGACCTGATGTAGTCCTGGTTTAGTCTTAGTATAGTCTTAGTTTAGTCCTAGTTTAGACCTAATGTAGTCCTGGTTTAGTCTTAGTTTACTCCTGGTTTAGCCCTGATGTAGTCCTGGTTTAGTCTTAGTTTAGTCCTGGTTTAGCCCTGATGTAGTCCTGGTTAAGACCTGATGTAGTCCTGGTTTAGTCTTAGTTTAGTCCTGGTTTAGACCTGATGCAGTCCTGGTTAAGACACGATGTAGTTCTGATTTAGTCTTAGTTTAGTCTTGATTTATACCTTATGTAGTCCTGGTTTAGTCCTGGTTTAGTCTTAGTTTAGCCCTGGTTTAAATCAAATCGGTCAAAAATCGAGACACCTGGGACATTTCTTGTACAAAACTGGAACAAATCACTAGTTTTGTATATATCCGATCGGTAAATGGGCACGTCTGGTCACTCTAACGTTGCTATCCTTGTACCTTGACACTCACAACACGCCACATTCTTCTTTTTTCGCCCCGATCCACAGTAGTTTTTCCTTTTGTTGTCATTGTGCTTCAGTTTGAATGAGGTAACTCCGCTCACTGTAGTCACGTGATCTGTGGCCTCGCAGCTTTTTTGCAAATGGTCGCTGCTGTTGCGTGCGGCTGCTGCTAACGCGTGCTAAAAAAAAAAAAAAAAAACCCTCTCATTTTTGACCAAAACACCTCCTGGACCGCTTCATCCGCCGCTACCACCTACCGCAACTCGCCGCCCGTGCAGAAAGACTCCGATATGCGTGTTCATTCGTGGGTACAAGCCGAGATTTCGCGTTATAAGAAGTAATTCCGGTTCAAAGTGACCATTGTTGAGCAGGGTCGAGATTGTTAGCGTAGCATTCCCCCCCTCACTTGGCCGACTTTCTTTTTCTTTTCTACCCGTGTACAGCGACTGAAACGACGCAGATCCGTAATTGTGTCATGAAAGAAATGTCCAGGTAAGTCTTGCATTTCAGATCCGTGTCATTTACTCGCCATTTTGTCTGTTATTTAAAAGAATCACAAAGAATAGGCTAAAGGCTAACGTGCGCTAACTGTCACAACATCCAAACAAGGCCCGTAAACGCTTTTTGCATTGGATTTTCACAATTTTTAATCTTTTAATAGTGTTCATTGGAGCTTGCAAGCTTTAATGACTCAAATGCACGCTCGAAATAAGTGATTTTAATTGATAGTTTAGCGTTAAATCGAAAAAAGCCGGGAATAGCGACGGGTTTTACTCAATTAGCCTCCATGAGTTACCGCTGCACGCTTGGAGCGAGCGCTTTACAAAACCTTTACCTCTCTTTATTTACATATTTAACGTTTTATGACATGCATTTTGGTTGTAGTGTGATAAATATGAGGTGATCTATTAAAAACGACTCGCTGTCACTTCCGATCAGTTGTAGTATTTAAATTGGCGCTCTAATTTGTAAAGCATCAGGTTGGAGAAGCTGCATTCTTGGCATTGTTTCGCTGTAAACACTGTGAGTCGTTAAAATAGTGTGTCCAGACATCCCTATTTACCCGGGACAGTCCCAGTTTTGAGCCCTGTGTCCCCTGTCCAAAACCAGTGGTTTGTGCCAGTTTTATACAAGAAATGTCCCAGGTGTCCCTATTTTTGACCGATCTGGTACCTGGTAATAGTAAAGAGAGGCATATGTTGTCATTTGTTTAGGTAAAATACAGAAAACCTGCTTAAAAATGACCAAAACACAAAGAAAATGTGACTATACTGACTTACATTAGTGCTGAGTGCATAACAGTTTTCCTTACTCACATGTTTCAGTTTTATTATTACCAACCATCACAAACCAGGGATGTCTCAGTTTTTTATTTTGAAAATCTGGTCAACCTACATTAAAAAGAATGACAATTAGTAATTTTAGACTAGGATATTCATTATTTTTATTACACTATTTTCTGATCTAATTTCTTCATCTCAAACAGTCCTGGAGTTGTGTTTTGTTTCATTCATACATGTTTAATTAACACAAACCCTGCAGATTTAGGCTGAGTTCTTATCTCAGACTGAAAACACTCTGTTCCTTGTTAAGATGATAATAATAATGTGGCAATACAGGAAGTACTCTGCTGTGTTTCTAAAATCCATACACCTTCACTAGAATCGTTTGGATAAGATCAAACCTATAATTGACGGCCTCTACTAAACTCGAGGTGAAAGGAGCTGTTAGTTTGAAAACTGCCACTACGTGACATCACACGGTGGAACAGAGCATTTTGAGCTTTGGAGATGTAGACAGTAATAATAATAAGGTGTTACTCAAACATGTACGAATGAAACAAGACACAACTCCAGGTGGGTTTTTTCAGGAGGTAACAACATTCTAACTGTCTTAAAGCGCACTTAGACAAACTTTATTGATCCACAAGGGAAATTATTTGGACACAGTAGCTCACACATCAAACACAATATAATTTAATAACAAAGAGTAAAAAATATAAATGTTAATAATAAATTCTAAATAAGTAGCAAAAAGAGAGCAAGAGACAGGTGTCCAATAGGGCATAAATATAACAATGTAAATCTACAAGTCAAAATAAAATGGAAAAATAAGTAATTAAATATAAAATCTCATCTTTATAAGAGAGGTCATAGGAAGACAGTGCAACAATGATATGACATGATGAGGGTAAATTTTGTGAAATGTAGGGCATTTAAACGAAAATCAATTAAATGATCCAGTCTCTTAGTAATAAATGCAAATGTGTCCATATTTAGAAGGTAAATTTTAAAAATTCATAGAAATAAGTTATAATTTTTTATCAGAAATTGTTGATAAAGTCAATTGTAAATAAGACCTTCCAACATCTGACCTTGTTTTGTTATGGGCACAGTTTATCATATTTCAACATGAACAATCTCAGTAATATTAGATTGTATTAAGTAAGGATAACAGTTTACCAACTTCAAACTTCTTCATGATTAAAGTAAAATGACAGCCAGAAAACTGCCTGAATCAGTGTTATTGTCTTGTGCTTTGTCAGAACTATTGATGCAATTGCCTTGTAATTATTATTGTTAATTAATTTATTGTTTTGTAGACTTTGGTTTTAACCTATCAACTTTTTCCCCTCAGCAGATATTTCGCAGTTTAATTAAACTCAATTTTTGTTTTTTTTACATTGGCTTGGTCACAATTGGCAAATCATAAAGAAGCATTTTTTTCAAGCAATATAACGTATAACAATCTAATATCCTTGGTTTAGGCCTCTACACACCTTGTGTTAGTTTTGCAGTTCAGCGTGTTCTCTTACTGTTTTCTTTCAAACTTAAAACTGAAATCCAATCTAGGCTTGTCAAAACTATCAAAGATCATCTATCAGATACTAATCAACACGAAAAGTACTTGTAGTCAAACTGGATACTCACTTGAGAAGATATCAATTGTAAAAAAGTCTCATTCACAGGGCCGACATTAACCTTTCCTGAATAGACTCAGACTTGGACAGACTTTATTGATCCACAAGGGAAATTACTTGGACACAATAGCTCACACATCACAATGTATTACGATAACCAAGAGTAAATAATGTCTTTAGAATGATGTTGAGCTCTGTCAGAACAAGTATAAGAGCACATATAGTAATAAACGCCCATGGACCACTGAGGGATTGCACACATATTAAAACAGTACTTTTATTAATCAGTAGTGATTATGTAGTCTATTTCTTAGTATCAAAATCAAGATTGAGAAATTTTAGTGTCATGACAACACTAATCCAATCACAACTCCTATTTATATATTTTACTTAATGCACTTCAGTGTTTCTCCAAAAATGCCTCTTATATTATTGATTTGATGTCTATCTTTTCCTAATGCTGTTATTTTTGTATCTGCCTCAGTTCTGTGCCTAGTGGGCAGCAGCCTCCCAAACACTATGGCATCACGTCTGCCATCAGCCTGGCTCCTCCTCGGGACATCGACCATCAATACACTGACAAGCTGTGTGACGCCATGAAGCCCTTCGGGGTGTTTGAGGACGAAGAGGAGCTCAACCACAGGTAACAACAGGGAAAACTTCATTTATTGGAGGGGGGATGGAGGGGCTACTCTTCTTTATCTTTTGGCTAAACATTTAACCCTTCACCTGACTTTTCTCTGCTCTGTCTGACCCCCTCTGCACCATCTGACCTTCTCTGCTCTGTCTGACCCTCTCCTTTCACATCCACTATCTAATCTAATCTTATCTTAATGTGCCAATTGTTGTCTTTTGTTTTCAGACTTGCAGTCCTTGGGAAATTGAATAATTTAGTTAAAGAATGGATCGCTGAGATCAGTGAAGCAAAGGTACGTTTTGGACGACTTTGGTGAACTTTATTTGATGTATTTTAGTAATTCCATTCTTGTTTTCTTTGCAGAACCTTCCTCCGTCAGCGATAAGTTGTGTTGGGGGCAAGATTTTCACATTTGGTTCATATCGCCTTGGAGTCCACACAAAAGGTATGTGAATTTTAACATTTTATGCTTTGCACATTTCAACCAATCTGGTTTTATGAGAAAAATTCTTGCTATTTTGGGAAGCCGGATATTCTTAATTTGCCGCTCTAATTCTATTTGTGTGTTTGATTGGAGAAACATTTGTAAATTTTGCTGGTCTGTGTGTATTCAGGTTGTAATTGATAAAATAAGTTCTTGGTCAACTAAAGGCTTGCCCTGGACATGGAATAATTATCAAATGAGGACATGACAGTAACAAAAAGTTTCAAAACTTATCTGTTGTTCTTTGTATAAAAATGCTTTATAATAACAATTAAATAAGTCTTTAAAATGTATGTTACGTTAAGCTTCAATGTCAGATTAATATACCAAACAAATAGGGGATTACAGCCTTTGTTTCAGTCATGCAATACTCACTATTCGATTCTTACTTAAACTAACTCTGTGGACTGCTGAGAGGTTGTAAACATGTGGTTGCTCTCAGCTGTGGCACAGTGTCATTGTTTTGTGAGTGTTTGTCAGGACTGAAGCGTGAGGCCAGTCAGGGACTGTTTTTGAAAGTGACATTCATAAACAGCAGGTGGACTGAGTGTGAAAGCTTTTAATGAAAGCAAAAGTGAAAATGTATGTATGTATATGATTGGTTAAATTTAGCTCAATGCTGCTGTGTGTATTTTTGCCATTGGTATTCGGGTGAAGGAGCAAAAGGTTTTCAAGGACACATAGTTTCCAGAAATGAGTTTCCTACTGGTCGCTGATAGGCTGACTGTGCTGTTGTCCTATGAGTTACCTTTTTAGGTTTGAAAAATGTTTCAGTGAAATACAAAAACAAAACAAACACAGACTAATTTGCTCTGGGATAAAAAACAAACAAGAGTATAGCACAATTCTGTTTCATCTTTGTCAATTTGAAACCTAAAGAAATATGGTCAAATTCTAGAATTTCATTTTCCACAGCGCAGGAATTGCCATTTCTCTATTGTGACAGCAACATTTGTTCAGGACCAATATATTTCTGGTGGCCCATAAGTTGCACTTTTGGTTTTCTTGTGTTTGTCTTTTACAGTTGGAACAAATTTGGAAAAATCTGTTTAGTGATTGTTAAATATGTGATATTATGTTTAGCTTTTGAACAGTACATAGATATATGTAATATGAGAGAAAGTAGTTTTAATTTGTGCTGACATTGACTTTTGTTCAGAAACAATTTTCTTTGTGGCATCAAAATCAGTATGGCTTTAAGCCTCCTATTGCTGAAATGGAGCTTTGGTTGTGTCAATACTAAAACTGCAGCTTTACCGTCAATGTGCTGTATTAATAATTATCTTGTCTCTTTTACCGTGTGTTTGAGTGTGTACTAATAATATAATGTGTGTTGTTTTTCAGGGGCTGATATTGACGCCCTGTGTGTGGCTCCACGTCATGTCGAGAGGACAGACTTTTTCCAGTCGTTCTTTGAGAAACTGAAGCAGCTCGAGGAAATCAAAGACCTGAGGGTGAGTCACGGAGGACGGCCAATGGGATTTGTCAATGAACGACATAATATATTTGTTGCCCGACACACTGGTCCCTCCTACATTCTGTTCACACCCAGGACGGTCCAACCACTGCTTAGGTCTGTCACCATAACACATTCTGAAGTGTGATATATTTCTGGTATGAAAATATAAACAAGAGACAGTAATATTAAAACCAAATAATGTCTCCAACACAATGCAACATTAACCTGCAATAAATGAATGGCAGAATGAAACCCTTTTGTAGTTGGTTTGCATCAACATACTGAGTAATAGAAGTAATTTATTCATCCCTCTATACCTTTTAATCTAGTAGAAAAAGAAAATAACAAAGTATTCCTGTCTTATACAGAGAACGTACCCACGATAAATATTGATCTCCATCTTTCATAAACAGAACGATAAGCACAGCTGCTTATTAGTATCACATGTCTCAAATGCATAAAACGTCTCTCAAATCCTTGTATCATTCAGAACAAATGTTGAACTTTTAAATCAGATACATAGAAAGTTAGTGCTTTGCTTTTTGATTCTGCAAAAATCTGAGCTTTTATTCAGCTGTGTTTTCTGTTTTGGGGATCATCTATTATATACATTAGAGTTTTGGTTCAGGAAATCACACCATTTAAAGGTTGTATAGAGGATTTTCCAAGGAACGAGAAATCCAGCGACTGTTTGTCCTTTTTCAAATGTTGCGCATGCGTGAAACCACCCTCCCTCCCCTACAGCTCCCTACGTAGAAACGCCTCCTCCCGCCTCCTCTTTACGCCAGAAACAGGTTTGTTTACAGCCAGTGCGCTGCACATGACTTGTAAACAACTAACTACAGTGTTGGTTAGGCAAGATGGAGAAGTGAGGAGCAGGGAGAAGAGTGGAGCAGGGAGAGGAGAGAGGAGAGGGGAGCGGTGCGTGGAGATTCCGTGCCCGGAGAAGTGAGGAGCAGGGGGAAGAGCGGAGCAGGGAGAGAGGAGAGGAGAGGGAGAGAGGAGAGGAGAGAGGGGAGCGGTGCGCGGAGATTCCGTGCCCGGAGAAGTGAGGAGCAGGGGGAAGAGCGGATCGGGCAGCGGGGACAGGAGCAGGAAAGGGGTGCAGAGAAGGTTGCGCGGAGATTCCGTGCGAATGAACTAGCTACAACACGCAGCAGCAAGCGGACTCTTTCTTTGCCTTGAAAATTACGTTTTCAGACATAGGATATCGCTTTCGTGTCCTGAAAAACGTTTGACTAGCTCTTGGAAATAAAGGACGTTTTCATAATAAGCAGAAGTGACCTGTCCAGGAGTAATTTGTGGACCAATGCGTCAGTCTTTAGACCCTGCGTCTGCTTCAGTCGCGCCATCGCTGGAATGAATCTATAAGAATCACCTTAGTTTGGCTTCGCTGCTTTTCCCCTTGTCTTCTTCTTTCAGCGACCTCAAAAACGGACTTTCTTTTGCGGCTAACTGCTCCTAGATTCTTGTCTGCCATTGCAACAAACTTTGTGCAAACTGCGAGGAAGATATAGGTAAAAAAAAGCCACTAAGAACTGTTGCGTTGGTGGAGTAAACAGCGTCTGTGCGTCTGTGGACTGCGTGACAGGCGTACGTAAACCACGTACCGGCGGCGCGCAGGCAAGTCAGTTATGCTAGAAACGTAGGGAGATTGATTGACAGCCTGTCAGCTAACAGATAATGAGGCAGTGTCGTTATCTATTGGCAAATGTTTAGCCCCACCACGTCCAGAGTTGATGAATTTTTATTCTCTTTTTTTTGGTCATCATAATTACAAGGCTACTGCACCTCTATAATGCTATCATTGACAACTTGAAACAAAAAAAAATCCTCCATACAACCTTTAATCTATTTCTATATTTTATTTTGAAAGTTTTCTTTAAATATAAAATAAGCATTAGTTTTGTTGCTAGTGTGTTCATAACTGATTTCTTGTTTTTCAGGCTGTTGAAGATGCTTTTGTGCCTGTGATAAAGTTTAAATTTGATGGAATAGAGGTGAGACATTCACCTCCTCTGCTTCACACACCTTTTATATATTTAAGAATGATTTAATAATGCTTTATTAATAATGTGTGTGTTTGTCTGATGTGTTCAGATTGACCTGTTGTTTGCACGTCTGGCTCTTCAGTCGATCCCTGATAACCTGGACCTCAGAGGAGACTCCATCCTCAGAAACCTCGACATCAGATGTATCCGCAGTCTCAATGGTAAAAAATGACATAATATATCAATAATTAGGTGACTTTTAAAAAATGTTCTGGATGTCTGTGTTTGCGATTATCACAATGTGAATGATACTGTCCTATCCAATCTCACATGCTTAGAAAACAAACAAAAAGAAAGTTTGACACAGCTGTAATTGCTCAATATTCCTGTTCTAATTCTGCAATTCTTTTGCGGTTCACAGTTGGCAATTATAACTGTTTTTCTGTCTCAGTCTTTTTTATGCCACAGGCTGTCTAAGTAATTCCCTCATTGTCCAGTAGAGGGTGTTCATATTTTGTGTGGCTGTTCCATAGATTTAAACATGTTGTTGTCCTAGATCTAACCCTGTCTTGTTTTGTTTCATTGCAGGCTGCAGAGTCACAGATGAAATCTTGTATTTGGTGCCAAACAAAGAAAACTTCAGGCTCACACTGAGAGCCATTAAACTCTGGGCAAAACGTGAGTTACACATTTTCTGAGGACTGATGCCTCAAATGCAGAATAACACAGGATTCATCATCATTTCAAGATAATCTCACTGTTCGAATCGCTACTTCCTGTCCAATTTTATCTCTGTGAGGTTTATGCTCTAAAATTGATCGGTCCTTAAAGATCAGACAGTGAACAGGGAAATGTCACAGACATATTACTGAACAAATGACATGAACTTCACAGAAGCACACTTCTGTGTGTAGAAAGGGAACATTTTGTATCTTAAAACAATGAAGCAAACTAAAGTCATCTACACAGAAAAACAATCAAGTACCATTTACATTTTAATAGGCTGTTTATTTTACATTTGAAAGTTTTAATAAAAGTTGGTATTAGCTGTAAGACACAGTGCATTGGCTAGAGCCAAGTGAAATTCATGACCAGTGAGGATCCCTCTGTTTGCAGCGTCACTTAACATTTAGCCCTGCAGTAAAAACAGATTTTGTCTTTATTACCAAAATCACTGATGATGTCTCTCCCTAAGGCCGGGGGATCTACTCGAACATGTTGGGTTTCCTCGGTGGAGTTTGGGCGATGCTTGTGGCCAGGACCTGTCAGCTTTACCCCAACGCTGTGGCTGCCACGCTCGTGCATAAATTCTTCCTTGTTTTCTCTAAATGGTGAGAGTTTCATTTGAACATTAAAACTGCACTATAACATTTGTGGTTGGGATCTGCCACTTGCATGCCTCCCTGGAGATGTTACTGTGTTTGCCTTGAATGTTCCACTGTATGGCATTATACTTTATTTTATTTCAGGTGTTTTGATTGCCCAAAAGTGACTGAAAAACATTCTTATGTTGAGTGGACTCACCTCTCCCAAGATATGATCTGTAACAAGGTCACCTGTGATGGTCATGTTTAATAACCTGGCTCACAGCAGCTTGATACTGTATGTGCATTTCTCTAAAGTGAGCGCCACACATTTATCACTCTGTGATGGCTCTCGGAAAATGTGGAACGTCAAACTCAAACCTTAGTTACATCCAGCTGAAAGAAAAGCACAGACATATTTTAGCTAAAATTGACAGATGTGCGTCAGTTGGTGTTGGTGTGTTTGTTTTGATGTGTTTGGGCACTTTGCCTTTGCCTTCCTCACAAACCTCAGTGCTGCGACATGATTGGTCTGAATTTGAACCTTACAGCGGGAGTATGTCAAGAATTCTTGTGAGTTTGTGAATGAATATCACTACAATCCATCTTGCTGTGCACGGTTACATGTTTAATGCCATACTGTGGAGCATTCAAAACAGTTCATAGAGACACACAAGTGCATCTGAAGTTTCCTAAACTTTTCCATTGTTCAGTATGTTCTAATCTTGTGTTTTGTCTCTGCTTTCTATAGGGAGTGGCCAAACCCTGTGCTTTTGAAACAGCCTGAGGACAGTAATCTGAACTTACCGGTGTGGGACCCTCGAGTGAGTATTTTAATAATCGCTAACTTTTATGTACCAAGCCACTTATTATTTTTATATAAACCTTCTGTATTGTTTCAAACCTTTTCATCCGCTGTATTCTTGGTGTCACTACGAAATAAACACTTAAGTCCTCTCTTGTGGTCATTTCCATTTAAAGCAAAGTTTCCAAAGATTTGAAAATATATTCAAACTGTAGTGTTGTCCATGTGAAAAATTAAAGACATTGAAATAAATGTCCCTCGTTTTATTTTTGCATTAAAAATATGATCTCTTGTACTTTTGTCCATTGGATTTGATTGCAGGATTGTCAGTAGATCAATTTAATACAATTTTATTCCAGTCACGCTTTTAAGTTAAACTCGATACAGCTTTTTCTGTAAAAATATATAGTAAAAAGTACATTTGTGGCTTCAATAAAGACTCATTGTTTAAACATTTGACAGTCCTTATTCACAATTTGCAGTAAGTGTTTTTGGTCTGTTGCACCATTTGTAGCATTTATGAGAGGGCCTGCTATCATCTTGTCTGTATGAAGATATTCATGCTTTGCTTGGAATGTCCCACAGTATAGCTTTAACCTTGTCTGTCTACACGGAGACTAAGTGGCCAAGGTCACCAGACCAAGTAGTATCTGCAGAGAGAGGCAAGCCCACTCTCAATAAAAAACACATCTTCAAGGTGTACACTGAACATTTCATGCAAGATATGTTTAATCCTGTATTGTGGAACATTCCAGGTAAAGCAATAACATCTCCATGGAGACAAGCAGGTGGCAGACCACCACCAGGAAAGCTGGTGTATGTTTAAGTGTATTTATAGTGTATATTTAAAACCTTTTCTTTTCTTGAAGTCCTATGTTCTTATATTATCTTTCAGTTGCAATTCCTTGTACAGTAGGTAATGTCTGTATATTATAATTATGGACAACATGTACATTTTAGTGAAGAGATGAAGGTTGTGTTCTGATAAATGTATTTACCAGAAGTCACTCAGCTGTTAATCAGACTAGTCCACTGTTTTCCCTTACTTATATTAAGAAATGTGGATTTTGCCAATAGGTTTGTTACATTTGAACTTGGATAGAACTGTTTTATTACTACTTTTTAATATTTTTGTCCACCTAAAGTCCTCATGCAAGTATTTTTACACATCGCAACTCTTCACAAATTGAATTTTTTCCCCATTGTGTAATTTTTCTGGTACAGGGTGCGTGGTTGTCTGCAATATTTATGTTAAAGCTTTGCCTAGAATGTTCCACAGTATGGCAATTAACTTATCTATATTGCATTTATTCAATCGCAGCTGGGTTTTTTTTTGTTTGTTTGTTTTTTTGCTTAAGCATGCATTCTTACTGTGAGCGAGTTCACGTCTCCACAGATCTGACCTGTAACTCTAACTTGGTCTGGGAAGGCTGCCTGCTTGTATTCATGGAGATGGAGAAGTTTAAAGTCATTCTATTGAACATGTAAAGCAAAGCAGTAACATCTCTAAGGAGACAAGCAGGTGGCAGGTCCTCCTCCAGATAAGTTCCATAGTGGTGCTTTAAGGTGATTTAGTTGGCTTTATTAAACTGTGAAAACTCCCTTGTGGTGGCTGTGTCGTGTTTTAGGTTAATCCATCGGACCGATACCACCTGATGCCCATCATTACCCCCGCTTACCCGCAACAAAACTCCACCTACAACGTCTCCACATCCACGCGGACCATTATGAGTGAAGAGTTTAAATACGGTAATCTTGAAATCATGTCCAAATGCAGCTTAAGTGTGTTTACAATGTGATGTTGTGCCTAATGTGTTGTGTTTATGCTGTGAGCAGGTTTGAGCGTCACAGATGAGATTCTTCAAGGGAAAGCAGAATGGCCCAAACTGTTTGAACCTCCAAACTTTTTTCAAAAATACAAGTAAGTGCAGTTTAATTAAATAAATTTACACAAGTTAGTTGTTGAAATTGATCTTTATAGAATTGGTGATGTGTTTTCGTCGTCTTGGTGTTTAACCCTACAAGTGAGTTCTACTTCAGGCGTTTTTTCATTACATTACTTGATTTGGTCCATAAAAATCTATAATTTACTAGTAGTGTATTCTTATTTAGATTTTATAGAAAGACTGCTGTATATGCTGTTACACTTTTAAGAATAGTCAAATTAAGAAAAGTGAAAGTAGATTAAGAAAAAAAATTTGATAGTTTGCTACCTGCTTGTGTCAGTCAATTGTCTGGAATCTTCCACATTATGGCCTTAAACTTATGTACCCAGCACTTGTTCTCATTTTGTTATGTGAGCAGGTCACCTCTGCATAGGTCTGATTTGTATCTTGACCCAGGTGTCAGATTCTCCTACATAAATTACATACTTTACATACATAGTACAAAGTATTTTACATAAGCTTTTATTTTGTTCCATGCTCTTAGTGTTATTTTGCGTTGTGCAGGCAAGCTCCAAGCCATCTGAGAGTGGCTGGCCCAAAATTCTAACTGTATTTAAATCTTCTTTTTCAGACATTACATAGTTCTCAGTGCCAGTGCATCAACAGAAGATAATCACTTAGAATGGTGAGAGCAAAGTGGTGTTTGACTTTGATTTAACTGGGACAGAAACATTTAGTGTAACGTTAAAATCCTCCTCCTCAGGATCGGTTTGGTGGAGTCAAAGATCCGAGTTTTAGTGGGAAACCTGGAGAGAAACGAGTACATTAACCTGGCTCATGTGAATCCACAGTCCTTCCCCGGGTCCAAGGAGAACCGCGAGTGAGTACAGCAGGGCATTTCTAGGAACATAGAACATGACTTTATTTCAGTCACATGTTTACATACACATCTGTAATCTGTACAATCAGATTTTAAGATGCCTTTTCCCTTTTACAGAAATGATTACATGTCCATGTGGTTCATTGGGATCCTCTTCAAGAAAGTAGAAAATGCAGAAAGTGTCAACATCGATTTGACCTATGACATCCAGTCCTTTACAGACACAGGTGAGATGTGTCACATGTTGTGTTAAAATACTATTAGATTTCAGGTAGCCTTACCAAGACTATATGCTTTTCCTATTCTATACAAAGTTGTGTGTGTGAGAGTGAGTGCTGGTGGTGGGAGAGGTGAATGGTGCAGATGAGCAACTTTGCTTCTGCCAGTCTTCTCCAGGGCTGTTGTGGCTACAGTAGCAGCTTATGAGTGTGCAATGAATGAATAATGACAGTGTAGAATTTTGAGAGATTTCGAAAAGACTGCCCCAATAAATGTTATTTGAGACTAAATATCTTTCAAAATTTGAGTCTGTGCTGCAAATAAATGGGTATGATTTTAATCGGTAACAAAATCTGGACAGAAGAAATAATGTTGTGCTTTGAGCAGGGTCCCAGTGGCTCTTGTATTTGATTCCACTTTAACCAACAGTTTGTTTACTTCCCCTGTAGTTTACAGACAGGCGAACAACATCAACATGTTAAAGGACGGGATGAAGATCGAAGCCACACACGTCAAAAAGAAGCAGCTCCATCAGTATTTGCCTCCAGAGCTTATACAGAAAAAGAAGAGGGTAAGGACCAGTGCTTGAAATGCAAAATGAATCCTGTAATCATTTCTTTTCTTTATAAACACTAATTTCCCTCCGTGTCTCTCTGCAGAGTATAGCAGAGCTGAACCGCAGCTCAAACGGCGGCAGCTCGAAGCGCATTTCTCTGGACAGCAGTCATTTGGACAGTTCCACAAACACAGACTCAGGGACCCCCGTCTGCTCCCCGGCCTCCAAGCCCCCCAAGCCCACCTCCGACACAGACGACGGGTGAGAGGAGACATAAGATCTGGGTTACCTTTAGAACCAAAACATTACAGTACACTAGGATCTATTGTTTAGCCAAGAAGAAAAGGTTATGTTAAAATACATTTATCAAATTATGAAAGTACAAAAAGACCCCAACCCGTAATGTCAGAGCACTAAACTTTTGTTGTTTTTTTTTTTTTTGGCAAAGTGTTATATTTTTGGGGTTTCAATTTCAACAACTTAGCTTTATATTCTTTTGTACATGAAATTTAAAGTAAACACAAAAACACATAACCAAAATCAACAAAATATAGGACTTTTTTCAACATGTATTTCTACTTATCCATTGAGTTTAGTTTGTAAATGGTGCAATGCCTGACTAACAACACTTGGGGGCATCAAAGACTCAACAATATTTAAAAGACAGTAGCAACAGAAGGATACAACTGTGATTTTTATGCATTATAATTGTTTTTCTGCTAAATGTGAATTACTAAATTTGAAACGGCATTGTGTTTACAGAGTCAGTCCTCCTAAACAGCTGTTTGTGGAGAGCTCTCCTGTCTCTGCGTCCGAAGCTCCTCCAGCTGTCCCCGGGTCAAGTGAGTTCACAACACGCATTTTATCAACACTTTTTTTCTATTGCATATTTGTACTACTAACAGTGCATATTTCCAGTATACAGATGTGTAGCCAAAAGTTTTTAAGCAGACTTCCGCACACTCTCACTCTTCATTCATTTTTATTAGTACAAAGTATCTCCTTAAATAAATTAAGATACTGCCCCCTTAAAATTCATCATCCAGTCACATAAGTGGAAAAATACATTCACAATTGGGTCCTAAATTAACTTCAAATATTGTACATCATTCACTTTGCGTCAGTCTATCATGAGTTAAACGTTCTTGTGAAATAAAACTATGGTCATCTTCTAAATGATGCTGTAACTGTTCACATATTTGCTTTGAATAAACGTTTTTCCCTGTTTGTTCAGAGCCCTCAGTGAAACCCTCCAAGCCGCCCTCCCCTCCTCCGGCCGCCGCGGTGACGCCAAACGCAGCGAGTAGCCCCAAAGAGGAGTCGAACGGCGCTGCAGACGATTCTGTGAACGGAGCAGGTGCAAAACGACCTCACTCCCCGACTCAAGAGGAGGTCAGCAAGAGGCACAAGGACGAGGTACAACATAAGATATAGAATAAACAGAGGGAAAAGCAGTTTATTTCTCTGTGATGGGGCAGTCTAAATACTAAAGACATGCGCTGCTGATCGATTAGTTGACTAAAACAGGAGAATGTCAGAAGCTCTCAACACTCTTCTGTCTCTGTGTATCTCACCCAAACTGCGCTCACAACAGAAAAACGACTATTTATGCCAAAAAAAAGTAATTTATATAAATACATTGTTTCCTAGTAAACTTGTTAATCATGAGTTTAATCTTTCTTTTTTTTTTTTTTTTTTTTAAACATAGAGACAACATTATAAAATGTTCACCTCACTCACTTCTCCTTTTTGCTGTTGTCCCATAGAAATTCTTATTATTTACAAATAATGACTATAGTGACTATTATACATTTTGGTGGACTAAAGCCCTATTTGCATGGGATAAGTTTTACCTTTGTTGACTTGTAATAATTGTGGAGGATGCCTGAGATCTTAATCCCGTGCAAATGCGTCATGTCTGTAATTTGTAAAGTAAGAATTCCACTGTAAATTACCTACCATATTTCACCAAACAGACGTCCGGTGATAATACTAGTCCCATGTGAATCTGCATCTCAGAAAAAGCGCAATTACAACAACAAACACTATCTCTTCCTTTTCTTGTTCAGTCTCAATCAATGTCAGTAAAATAGTCATTTACGGACTTCTTATCCTGTGTGAATGCACTGCAAGTAACACAGAGATGAGGCGGTAATTTGCAAATTACCAGACATCTCCAGGTTGTACTTATCTCGTGCAAATAAGGCTTTAGTCTCCATCACTGATTAATCAACTAAACGACTAAAGGCCTACAGCCCTAATCTGTAAAAAATAAAGTCTATTCATAGTGTTGGTCTCAAGGTTTGGCAATCAGTTATTTTATATTTTTTAAACAATTTACGATTTAGATCAAGAATACAGCCCACATGTATTATTATTATTATCATCATTCAAATTTACAAGTGTATATTTATGTGGTGAAGTTTTTGGTTTAACAGATTTGTTTTTCTTTCAGCCTGTGTCCAATGATGATGCTACTTTCAAAGAGCCTTACCCTCCTGCAGACGTCAGCGCAGAAGGAACGAATGTTGTGAGTACAAATATACAGCATATAATTGAGTTTGGCCTGAAGTTTGATTTGAAATGCTTAAAAATATTCAATATTTTTCTCATTTTCAGAGTACTGCATCAAAGGCAAAACCCATTCCAACCCTCGATACCTCAAGAACACAGGTAATTTATCATTTAATCAGGGACATAAAACTTCTGAAATGGAAACAATTCTATATCTCTGTAATATACAAAATGAAACAACACAGCCTCAATCAAACTGTTAGGGCTTGTTTTTTTCGGTTTCATAAAAATAAATCAAGTAAAGCATTCTTACTATACTACGTTTTTTCCACAGAGACTTCCGAGCATGGAGCTGCCCGATGCCTCGTCTCCTCTTCCGGCCAGTAACAGCTGCAGAGTTGTCAAGAACTCCATCAAACTTGCTCTCAACCGCCACAAGTCAGTCTTTCATACACACTCTCTAGAGTTACACAATATCAGTAGTTTTGAAATTGTCGCTTTAGAGCATTGGGTAAACGAGCAATTCTAGAAACATACTTAAAACAACAACAAAAACTGAAGAGATTTAGATAATGAATATTTAAATGAAGTTCAAACAAGGATGATGTTTGTTGTTTATTTTAGAGCAGTAGTTAAATTTGGTCTTCCAAGTATCACCAGATCTAAACCAGGCCTGATGAGGATAAATTTGGGTAAAACCAGTTCTTCTAAATAATGTCTAGCTCAATAAAGGAAAAAAATGAATTAAAATACACTAAATTCAGCCAATAAATTAACTAGGGCTGTTTGATTATGGAAAAAAATCATTATTAAAATAATTTTGGTCAATATTGAAATCACGATTATTCAAAAGATATTTTTTTTTATTTACATAATGCATTTATTCAGTATTTCTCTCTTTCCATAAAAACAAAAACAAAAACGTATCGATAATTTACTTTCAGATTGAATATATAGGCTACAAATATGAACCTTGGAACAATTTTGTGATGTATAAAACATAAAATGAATAAAATATACTTTGAGAATGAAATAAGACATAGAAAAACATAAATGTATCCAAAATAAACTATATATCCAGCTCATCTATAATCTCTGTATTAAAAATATATATATATATACACACACACTTATTTACATAAAAGAATATTCCAAATTAAACTTTGTTAAGTTATATCATTTCAACTCAATTTGACACACAACTCGGAATTTCAATAAAAATTCAATCAATTAATTGCACGGCCTTAAAATGAACTGTAAATAAATTCATGTATTTGAACTGGTTTGTCTACCACCACTTGTACATGGACTACAGTTTGAGAAGTGCAAAAATTGTACTGCTTAATATTGGTATAAATGTTTCCAAATGAATTCCACATTTGTCAATTTGTCTCCCTCAGCATCACACCTCCAAAGCCTCCTGTGATCGACGCACCTCCGCCTGTAGAAGCTCCTCCCCCTCCCGCTCCCGTCGCCACGGTTACAGAGGAGAAGGGCATGTCCATTCCTGTCATCGGCTCAAGTACGACCTGTGCATTCATTCAGAAAATCAGATTTTACCTCAGCACTGAGCTAGAGTTTGGAAGTTCTTTCATTAGTATAAAATGGGCTGTGAAAGACGGGGGATTAGTAGAGGATAAGAAGACTCAGTTATAAAAGTTTCTAACCAGTTGAGGATCCTGTACTCAAACATTAACTGCTTTACCTTTACCTGCCTCACAATGACTTCTACCAATATTTGACTACGCAGACATAATTTATCAGAACACCTCAGCATCTGATCTTTGATTGTTAGATGTCATTTATAACAGTATATGTAGGTTTATATTAAGATGTCCCTATAGAACACACCACTGTCAAATGTTTTCATCGCTCAACTGGCTCTGTCTTACATCCAGAACACAGCTGCATTTTTTACAGTTTGTGTTTAAAGGTTATTACTCAAAGTTCCCACCTTACAAAAGAGTTTCTGATTCCATTTAGATCAGCGCATAATTTACGTCACACTGAACAACTATTTTTTAACATTAACCAAAACAAAACAGATAAGTCAAACTCATTCAACTCATTCACAATAACGTTCAACATTGTTCAGTTGTAACACATAAAATACAAAACAATAAACTCACTTTTTAGTTCATTCCTCTTCCATCAAATCCATCAAATTGTTCAGTGTCTGAGTTTAACAGTTCAATGATTTCGGCATCGAGCCCGGATCCCTCTCTTCATTATCTGAGTCAGTCTCGTCGCTGTTACTTTGCTGTTCAGTGATGATTCGGACCTTGGTGAAAGCTCAGACGACACTTGAGACTGATCATTAGCCCAGGCGTCCACGATCCATTGGCGGATCGTGGCGTAACTCGCCCGACGTTGCCTCTTGTCTTGGTGAATGTGGATTACTCTACGAGGCTCCTGACTACAGCAGACATAATGCTCTGACAATCCATCAAGCGGTGTGGCTTTGTAACTTTCCAAAGTCGTGCAAAAACATTTTGACAGATTTTTGAGCACTGTGAATCACATAAAATCTGTTTGCGGTCAGTAAACACAACCAGAATTAATACATAAGGTGCACTGTCAATTTTTGAGAAAATTAAAGGAAAAATACGGTATGTACTGTATATTAGCCTCCTGTATTGTGTAGTGTGAATGTTGTCTGTGTGTTTGTCTTTTGTTTTGTTTTGTTTTGATTTGTTCTTTTTTTTTTTCTGTAAATGTTATTTTTGTTAATGTATTTAGGACCTCCTCACAAAAGAGATGTTACATCTCAAGGGGCTTTCCATATAAATAAATAATATTTTGTGATGGAAATTAGTGTAGGTACTTCAAAAATTGCAGCTTTTACTATTTGCGTCTATTGAAAGTACGATTTTTATTACTTGTGCAAACCTAACACTGTTTTATCTCCCACAGAACACGTGTCTAAGCTGGGAGCGCCCCCCGTCGGCAGCTCCATCCCCACGCTGGTGAGCCGAGGCGCGGACCCTTTGAACGGCTCCTCCTCCAAAAGACCCCACTCCCCGTCGCTGGAGGAGCAGGCCAAACGACTAAAGGAGACAGAGAAGGCTCGAATCCACATAGCCTAAAACACAGTACAAACATACAGACTTTAAAACACACTCACACAAGATTTGACTGGCAACCGGACATTACCGCTCAAAAAGTCAGATTGATTATGGAAATTCACTGTCAAATTCTTTCAAAGTTCTGCAAATATCTTCACACGTAGTTTTTTTTTTTTTTTTACTTCAACCATTGCGTTTGTAAGCAGTGGGGAAAAGATTAGTTCATTTACGTTTTAAAAAAGAAGTCCCAGCTCTTTTTTGATTTTGTACAGTAAATGTTGATGTACATAACTTTGTCTTAAAAATCACTGTTTAAAAAGTCTTTGGATCGCTCTATTGTAGTTTTATCTAAAAACGAGAAAAAAAAGTTTAAAAAATTGTAATTATCTTTTCTTCTATCGCTTGTTGGAAAAAAATTGTCTCCTGATCTGAGTTTTGGGATGTTAAGGTTTAAAGGAGGGATTTTGTGGACCACCGTGAAGAGACCGTTCAGGTTGGTATCGGACTGCAGTGAGTAGCTTAAAAGAAATGAATGGATGTAACTATAAAAGGCTGTTGTTAACTTAAACATCTTAAAAACAGGCTTGTCCAAACTTGGTCCAAAGAGCAGAACAATCTCAAAGTCTTATTATTATCAAAAATGTCCAAGAAAGTCACATTTAATACAGTTAATAACCAAAACTATCGCGTATCTTGTTTACAGTCAGAACATATTTTGTATCAGTCGTTCATTCTTTGGAGACTGAAATTTAAGAGTTGAGTTTTCAAAATTGCATCTCAAAACAAGTTAAAACAAACCAAAAATAGTAGTTAAATAAAAATACATGAATGTGCATCAGTGACTTTTCAAACTCAACTTTTCGTGGCCTTAATGTTTTTGATTGTCAACATTGAAAATCCTCTCGCGACAGAAAGGAACTGAAGTCTTTTTTTTGCTTTTGAACAAGTTTGGACGCCCGATTTAACAATTGTACTGGACATTTGGGTATAACACCAACCAAAAAGCTTAAATTCAGAATCTCAGAGCCTTAGCTGCTAGTTCTTTTCTTGAATTCACGCTCTCTCAACACCTTAATCCATTCTTTTCTCACACCTTCTCTTCAAACCCCCATCCTAACCCTAACCTCATTTCTCCTGGTTCGTCGTTTGTTCGTTTGTCTTGGCTGCTTCAGAATCCGTTTGTGAAAATGTGCAGTTCCTCGTCGTTACGCACGTGTATCGGAGTATTTTGGAATGGTTTCGAATGGCTGTGTTCGAGTGCATGCATCGCGTTGGTTGTGATTTCGTGAGAAAGATTGAAATTCCCGGTAGTTTGGGTGTTACCGCTGCGCCTCCCGTGGAGGTTCTTAAACACATTCGGGCATCTCCTCCTCTTGGGGCCATGGGTGGGGGTCCGGAGACAACTTTTTTTTTCTTTTTTTTTTCTTTAGGTTTCTTGTCACGTTTTTTCAATTAGGACTGAATTTTTAGTGCAATTTAAATGGATAGAGAAGTATTTTAAGATGGATTTATTAGATGCTAAAATAGTAATATGACTTTACTATTTAAAGCTACACTGTAACTTTTCTGATGTCTCCATGGAGATGTGGCGTTGCCTGGGTTCTTCCACAGTATGGCATTAAACTTGTCTATTGTGTTTAATTGGACCTCAAAAATATCTTATTAAAAACTGAATGTCCTAACTTCTCTAGAGATCTGATGTTTTCCTTGGAGGTGTCACCTTCTTGTTTCCATGGAGATAAGTTCATTGTATTGTGGGACATTTAAGGCCATCTCCACGGTGACAAGAAGCCGTGAAACATCCCTTCGGAAAAGTTACGCCAAGCACCTTTGTTAATTGTGATGTTACGTACTGTAGGGAACGGGAAACTCTAGAATCGAATTGGCTTATGTGAATGCAATACTTGTCCATCCCTTACAAATTGTGCATCAAAATTTGAAATGATTTGAAAATTTGTGACACTCTTTTCTTTCTTTGTACAGATGCAGTTTTTGAAAAAAAGGCATATTATTCATCAAAGGGGTTTTCTTATCTCTTTATTTATATTTGCATATTTGTACCATGTGATCTTTTTTTAATAGCATTCATAGCAGGTAGGTTCATATTTTTTTCCACATGAGATCTTTGACCACATGTTTTTGCTGTTCGAAAACATTTAAAGAGAAAAATGGTCATTTAGACGTTTGTTTCTAAATTGTAACAAAAGGGTATTTTTCTATGTGTTTATCACTTCCTTTAATGAATCCGTACAAAACATTAAACCCCTTAAAAACTACTATGTCTCTGGGAGTTTCATTTATTTACATTTGGAGTATTTCTTGCTGAATTCATTGTTTTTTAAAGGTCCTGTTATGTGAAAATGAGTCCTGTTACAATGTTAACTCATGAAAATATACCTGGAGTTGTGTTTTGTTTAATCCCCATCTGAAAAATTAACATCTTAAACTACTTTTAAGTCTATTGCAATCCTCCATTTGACCACCAGATGTCGCCCAAAACCCACAAAATGACTGGTCCATTCACTTTCTGATTTAATTAACCCGTAACATGCAGGAGATTGGTCCAGCTCCTGAGGGCTCTGGCTCAGACTCTAGACTCTCCAGAAGGTCAACAAAGTACGAGATAAAGGAGCACCACGGCATTTTTCTGGTGGGAGGTCCATCACATCTAATCTATTTTCTGTCAAACTTCGAGTACAGAAAATGTATGATATTGCATTATTAAAGGTTGTATAGAGGCGCTTCCAAGGAAAGAGAAATACAGTGACTCCGCAGCTCCCTAAATAGAAGCGTCTCCTCCTGCCTCCTCCTTACGCTAGAAATCACGTTTGTTTACAGCCGGTGCACGTTCGGAATCGCCGTTGAAGTTTTCTGTCCAGAAGTCATTTATCGACCGACGCATCAGTCTTTAGAGCCTTCGTCTGCATCAGTCACGCCATCACTGGAAGGAATCTCCAGGGATCACCTCAGTTTGGCTTCTCTCCTTTTCCCTTTCTCTTCTTCTTTCAGCAACCTCAAAAACTGACTTTCTTTTACGGTGGACTGGTCGTGGACTCTTGTCTGCCACCGCGACAAACTTTGTACTAAGTGCGAGGGAGCTACAGTTCGAAAAACCCGCTAAGAACCGCTGCGTTGGTCGAGTAAACGGTGTTTTGTGTGTGTGGAATGTGTGAGAAGTGAATGTAAACCACGTCATCCCAGCGCACTGGCGACTCAGTTACGCTAGAAACGTAGAGAGCTTGATTGACAACCTAACAGATAACAATAGATAACAAGGTAGCCTCTTTCTCTATTGGCTGATGTTTATTTGGCCCCATCATGTCCACAGCTGATGGATTTTCATTCTTTTTTTTTTTGGTCATTATTATTACAAGGCTGCTGCGTCTCTATAATGCTATCTTGAACTTTCATTGACAATTTGAAACAAAACTAAAAATCTCCATACAACCTTTAATAACCCTCAAAGTGCAATGTATTCCCTGTAAACATTCAAAGTCTAAAAGGAACAGACAAAAAACTATTTTAAAATTAGGAAATAAATTAAAAATCAGCTCATTAAATCAGTATAAAAGTGCAGATATCTGTTTGCAGTGGATTTGTGTTTGTGATTGAAATGTTTTAAAGTAACTCTTAGTGTTAATGGAAAAGCGGGGTATATAGATAACGTAAAATGACACTTCTCTTCATTCATTTCTTGTATGTTTCACTTTATGACACTGTTTATGTCTTTTTTTATATTTTATGAATGAAACCATATAAATAAACATATTTACCTCAGTGGAGATGTTATTGCTTTGCCGTGAATGTTTTGAGAATGTTGCTGGGCCTAGTTACAGGTCAGGTTTGTGCAGAGGTGACCCAGCTTCTTGTAAGAATGCAGGTTTTCAGATTTTTTAAAGATCTCAAAAGTCCCTGTGATAGTTACAGGTGCAGTGTGAAACTTGAGCCAGTCTGCAGCCTGCTTCTCTATATTATTGTTTTTCCTACAGTGTTCCATGGCATGGCATTAAAGCTCTTGTTTATTCACTTGGTGTTTTGCGTGCAAGTGGGGTCCTCTCGCACAGATCTGACCTATAACTTTGGCCTGTGGTCTCACCTGCTCGACACATTCCGGGCAAAGTAAAAAAAAAGTTGAATAGTGCACGTTTAAACAAATTGGATGAAGTGCATTTCATTTAGTAGAGGTTTTTCGTATTTAGTAGTTTTGATTAGTAGTTTCAATTTAAATCTTTATTCCGCCAATATCTAACCATTATTGTAGCATTACAGACTAAAATGCACATTTATTTTCCACTTATTTTTCTGCCTTTTAAAAGTATTTATTTACTTTTCTGGTGGAGGGTCCGCCACATACTTGTCATATTGATTTGTCTGTTCTCTTATGAGCTTTTAGTCATGTTAGAATGTTGTTACCTCCTCAAAAACAGATAATAATACTTAATTTTTTATTTATTTTTACTATTATTATAATTTTTTATCTATCAATTTAACTTTTTTTTTTTTATTAATTAATGTATAATTAATTTTTATTTATCTATTTATTTATTTATTTTTCTCTACCCATTTTCATATGGTCACTGAATATGGATCTTTGACTTACCTGCGACTGAAATTGAAATTGTACTAAAATTGTATTGTGCAAGTATAGTTTAGTGAATATGTGAATGTGTATATGTGTATGAATGTGTGAGTGTGTGAATTGGCCTGGGTTTTTTTTTTTTTTTGGTTATATGTTGACCTATGTTAAAGTGGTGAACATTTATTTTGTTTGTTTGAAAATGAATTAAAAAAAAAAAAAAAGAAAGAAGGAAAAAACAGACCTGGAGTTGTGTTTTCTTTCATTCACACACGTTTAAGTAACACTTTATTAGCCTATTACATTTCCAAAACTCAAAATGCTCTGTTCTACCTTGTGATGCCATGTTATACTTTTCAAGTTAACACCTACTTTTACTTCTTGTTCAGTAGAGATTGGCAATACCAGGACTGAAATGATCCAAATGATTCTAGTGAAGCTGTTTGGAGTTTAAAAACACCATGGAGCACTTCTTGTATTGTTTTACCACATGACATCACAAAGTGGATCAGAGTGCTTTCTGTTTGAGAGAAAAACTCAGCCTAAATGTGCAGGGTGTTAAACATGTGTGAATGAAATAAAACACAACTCCAGGTCTGTTTGTGATGAGGAAACTGATGGAGGATAAGGGTAAAATGTATCTAAAAAAGTATTTTTTGACCAATACAAATACGTGTAATTATGTAACAGATAATACTCTCTACAACTGTACAACAACTCCTCCTTATATAATAGATAATACTCCCTACAACTGTCTTCTTATGACCTCTTGTATATAGCTGTGATTTTATATTGTATTACTTATCTATTTTATTTTGACTTGTACATATATATTTATTCATTTTGAATGTATTATTACCATTTATATTTTTTCTTTATCATAATATATTGTGATGTGTGAGCTACTGTGTAATAAATCATTTCCCTTGTGGATCAATAAAGTTTGTCAAAGTCTAAGTCATATCTACGCATGTTTACGTAGACAAGCAGGTAGCGGACCGTCCACCCGAAAAGCTACGCAGTACACCTTTAATAAAGCCGTGTAATGTTACGTAACAGTTACCTGTTGTATTGAAATGAATGGCAGCGTCTGTGTGTAAAAATCCCGCTCTGTGATTGGTCCGTTCGGTCCCAGGAGGCGGGCCTTGGGGGGAATTCCCGGTCGACTTTTTTTTCTGCCAAATTTCACTTTTTTCTCTCTGTATCTTTCATCAAGCCTCATTTCCACACACGGACAGTAATCAGCAACAGCGGGACACACAGGCGTCTCTCTATAATGGATGGTGAGTTTAAACGCTTTTAATCAACATTTTATTGCACTTTTATCACGCCTCTGTTCAGATAAGCGCTGTCAAGTTGATGTCACGTTAAAATCGTGCATCTTTTTGCGCCTTATCCACAAACTCACAACTTTTACGCAAATTAAGCAAGATTTAATGCATTTTAGCAATATTACATTTACTCTTTAAATCTTTTAAAAGCACTGCAAAGGTTTACAAAGTTGTTTTTTGGAGATAAGCGCGAAACTTCCTCTTTTTGCGTAAGTGACAGTTGCCTTTTTTTTTTCTTTTTTTTTTTGCAAACATACAAAAATATAATTAATTTAAGCATTACTATTTATCTCTTACTTGTATAAGGAATAACTGGTATTTTTTTGCTTTTTTATTTTTATGTTTTTAATTTTTTCATCCTCTGCTAATTAGTTTAATTTACTTTTTGTCTTTTGCAGTTCTTGGGCCCTCCATACTAAGGGACGACCCCCATTTCAGTAAGTATACACTATTATTATAAAAGATTCTACTTCATCTGCCTGTCTCTACAAGTTGAAACTTTAGTAGAGCTAAAAGCAAGCCTCCTACTTCCTCATTTGGCGTTATTGCATGAATTCTCACACCTGGAAGTAACATTTAGACAGTTTCGAGTCTTCTTCTGTCAGATATAAAGTCCAAAGTTGTGTTTATTTTGAATGGTGATGCAAAATGGAGGCACAAAACATGTTTAAGAAGATTTTTGGCTAAGGTCCAAGTTGTATTCATGCCAAAAATGTTACAAGACAAGTTTTGCTCTTTGGACATAATGATAGCAGGGGCGTTCAAAATAATACAGGTGTTTAGTGCTATTGACAAAGACTATTTGATCTATGGCCGCATCAATGATTATAGGCCTTAAGCTTAAACTCTCTTGCTCATTATATGGACTTACCCTGGTAAAAGTGTAGAATAATTAAAATTGTAAATCTGGATGACAAGAAATTATATCTTGCAAATCTCAAAGGTTTCTGTGTGTCTTATCTTATCGCATCTTATCGTATTCTTTGTAAAAGCTGCTAACCCTGTAGTTTAGGCATCTACAAACATGTTCTGAAATGTCTCTGTGTGTCAGATGTCCTGTCTGTGTGTCCATGGGTAAAAGCTGCTATAACCCTGTAGTTTAGAGCTCTACAAACATGTTCTGAAATGCACAGAATTATATTGGATTTCAGACTATTCTATATGAGGAAACGTGATTCTTTACGAGGAAAGTGGGTCTGTGTGTGCGTGTGTTTCTGGGGATCCGTCCTTGTCGATGTCGGACCTCTGAAGCTGAGCAGGGCTGGGCCTGGTTAGAGCTTGGATGGGAGACCATTAGGAATGCCAGGTGCCACAGTGGGGCTCCTGCGGCTCTAGTGAAAAGTGGCGTTGTGTCTTTAGGCAAGACACTTCACCCACATTGTCTAGTATGAATGTGTTATGTTTGAGTGTTGCCAGCAGCCAGAGGGGTTGATGGTGCAGATTTGCTGCCCCCCTTTCACCAATTTACCCAGGGCAGCTGTGACGTCAGTAGTGTCTTACCACCACTGAGTGTGGGGGGAATGAAGAATGCACTTTAAAATGCCTTTGGCATCTTTTAAGGGAATATATAAATCCAATACATTGGCCTGCCATGATAAATCGACTATATCGACTTATTGTTCAATATATGAGAGCTGTAACAACATATTTTTGTTATTTTCCTTGTAATATGTTAAGATTTGAGCTGTAGAGAGTTGAATAAGTCACTTCTGTGCCTAATTATGGGTTCATTCTGATACTTATTTGTTGCAACTCAGGCCTTTTAAATGATACAGTCTATTTCTAAAACATGGTTTACTGGGATTATCTTGCAGTATTGTTATTCTGTCAGTTGTGTAGGGATAGTATGGCCCTATGCCACATGAGACACTAGATTACACATTTTAAAAGGCATTTCTGGCGTGTGCTTCCATATAAATGAGCCCAAAACTCCAATAACAGCTCAGATATTCCTTTATTTTGGCTTGATCCATGAGCACGGTCAGAAGACTGTTCCTCATCAACTTGCAATGCCTGGTATTGCTAATTACAGGTTTTAAATAGGTAGCAACACACAGAAATGCGACATAAGGTGATTTGAATATTATTGTTGCTTGTTATATTTCTCATTATCGTGACAGGCCTACCAGTGCGTTATTTTAAAGTATCTCAAACAAGGGACACTTTCACCCACCTGCTTCTTCTATCACAGTTAAGCACTGGATTAGAATACAGCAAAATCACCAAAATGACACATCACCCAGCCCTATTTTCTACTATCTGAAAACATTGTATTTTACTGTTAGTGTTTATTATGAGTGATATGAACTGACTCCCTGCTTGTGTCTCCCAGTGGGCGAGCCGGAGGTGCAGATCTTTGAGCAGCCCAAACAGAGGGGCATGAGGTTCAGGTACAGAGTGGAAGGTCGCTCTGCTGGAAGTATCCCCGGAGAGAGGAGCTCAGACAACAACCGCACCTACCCCAGTATACAGGTAACCACCACCTCCACACCTGTGCAAACATATATAAATAAAACACCTCAAGTATACAAGTAACTACCACCTCCACACCTGTGCAAACATATATAAATAAAACACCTCAAGTATACAAGTAACTACCACCTCCACACCTGTGCAAACATATATAAATAAAACACCTCAAGTATACAAGTAACTACCACCTCCACACCTGTGCAAACATATATAAATAAAACACCTCAAGTATACAAGTAACTACCACCTCCACACCTGTGCAAACATATATAGATAAAACACCACAGTATACAGGTAACTACTATCAACACACCTGTCCAAACATATATAAATAAAACCCTACAAGTATACAAGTAACTACCACCTCCACACCTGTGCAAACATATATAGATAAAACACCACAGTATACAGGTAACCACCACTTCCTCACCTGCTCAAACGTATAGATAAAACACCCCAGTATACAGGTAACTACTATCAACACACCTGTCCAAACATATATAAATAAAACACCTCAAGTATACAAGTAACTACCACCTCCACACCTGTGCAAACATATATAAATAAAACACCTCAAGTATACAAGTAACTACCACCTCCACACCTGTGCAAACATATATAGATAAAACACCACAGTATACAGGTAACCACCACCTCCTCACCTGCTCAAACGTATAGATAAAACACCCCAGTATACAGGTAACTACTATCAACACACCTGTCCAAACATATATAAATAAAACACTACAAGTATACAAGTAACTACCACCTCCACACCTGTCCAGACGTATAAATAAAACACCCCAGTATACAGGTAACTACCGCCTTCACATCTGTCCAAACATATATAAACAAAACACCCTAGTGCACAGGTAACTACCACCTCCACACCTGTGCAAACATATAGATTAAATAAAACTCAATATACAGGTAACTACCATCAGCACACGTGTCCAAACATATAGATAAAAAAAAAAAAAAAAAAAAACAGTATACAGGTAACTACCACCCCACACCTGTCCAAACATATAAATAAAACACCCCAGTATAGAGGAATTTAACACTAAATCCACTTTTTTGCTACTGAACCGTGTATATTGTGTTCTAAAGTAGACCTATTAAGCAAAATTGAATATTTACAGACTTTAAATGTTCCCCTTGTTTCCCCTCAACATTTACTCCCCCGTAGTATTTGTGGTGATTCGTGCATGTCTTTAATCACTTATTTTCAAGACGCCATATGGCTGATGACTCCGTTTTCACCGGCGTACTCCCACTGATGTGCACTTACTTTTTTCTCCAATTTAATTTTCTTAATCTGTGATAGATGTAGGATTTGGCAACGCCACTTAGTCATTTTTGTAGCAATGCAAAAAAATCTGTGGCTCGCTAGCGTGATGTGCAGATATTGGAAGTGCCGACAACTTCACTGCTCTTTGTTGTGATGACGTTTATGGTGATGTCAGCTCCCTTTGGGCACCACAGTTTTCTGACATGGAAGTCAGCACATTTGTTTCTTTTATTAAGTTGTTTTCGATGAATATTATGATATAAAATGTGTAAATTATAACATAATGATCCATGGGTATCACAGATTATAACTATAGCAGACACAAGTGAGAAGCATGTATGTCTTCTTAATAGCATTTTTTGGCAACATTAGTGCAGTCTAGTGAATTGGTCAAAAACACCTAAACTAAAGTGTGTGCTGCCTCCAGTGGTAAATGCGATTTCTGGTACAGGGGTGGAGTTTGAAGTGATGGTACATGACCAATCACAGTGTTCCTTATACCTCCAGACCCCACCGCTCCTCCTCCCTCCTCACTCTCCCCTTTAGTCCTTCAGACTCCACCCCTCCTCTTTCCCCCTCACTCTCCCCTTTAGTCCTACAGACCCGCCCCTCCTCCTTCCCCCTCACTCTTCCCTTTAGTCCTTCAGACTCCACCCCTCCTCCTCCCTCCTCACTGTCCCCTTTAGTCCTTCAGACTCCACCCCTCCTCCTTCCCCCTCACTCTCCCCTTTAGTCCTACAGACCTGCCCCTCCTCCTTACCCCTCACTCTCCCCTTTAGTCCTTCAGACTCCACCCCTCCTCCTCCCTCCTCACTCTCCCCTTTAGTCCTTCAGACCCCACCCCTCCTCCTTCCCCCTCACTCTCCCCTTTAGTCCTACAGACCCGCCCCTCCTCCTTCCTCCTCACTCTCCCCTTTAGTCCTCCAGACCCGCCCTTCCTTCTTCCTCCTCACTCTCCCCTTTAGTCCTCCAGACCCGCCCCTCCTCCTCCCCCTCACTCTCCCCTTTAGTCCTCCAGACCCGCCCCTCCTCCTCCCCCTCACTTTCCCCTTTAGTCCTCCAGGTGTTCAGCTGTTCTGTTTCAAATGTGTTTATGGGTGGAGTTTAGGTGTTTAGTCCCATTGTAATACACAGGTAACAACCACACCCACCTGCACAACAACAACAACCGCACCTGCCCTGTGCTGTACTTCAGTTGGGTTGGGTTGGTTAGCTGACAGATTGATTTAGGACTTTAGAATACACTGTTTCACCTTGTGATGTCATGTGGTAATACAGGAAGTGTTGCTCTGTGTTTTTAAACAACATACAACTTCACTAGAATCATTTCAGCCCTGAAACTGGAAAACTACCACTTCATGACATCACAAGGTGGAATGGAGCATTTTGAGCTTTGGAGATGTAGACAGACTAATAATAAAGGATTACTCAAACATGTGTGACTGAAATAAAACACAACTCCATGTCTGTTTTTGAAGAGGGAACATTATTCTCACACGGTTTAAAGCTCACAAGAGTCACTTTTGTGTAATATTGGACATTTGCAGGTCAAAAACTGACCTGCAAAACCAGGTCAGGTGTTAACCTGGTTTTGTAAATGTTGTGGCCCCAACACAAACCATCTCTGAACCCATGACATGGAAAAATTATGTGTCTTCCACTAATTTATACAGCTGCTTTGAATTTTAGAGGCTTTTTGAAGTCAGTAACTGAACAAACATGCAGTTGTTCTCCAGTTATCAGTGAATTGCTAGGGTTGTTAAATAGTCCCCCAGGAGTATTAGCTGGTCCTTGGGTATAATCATGTATGAATATAAGTAGACTGTATAATCCTTTTATCTAGCTAGGCCTTTAGTCAATTAATCAGTCGATGGAGTCATAGTTGACTAAAAATGGTATTAGTCGACTAATTATTTTATTTAGATGATAAAGATCTCTATGGGACAACAGCAGAAAGGAGAAGGGAGTGAGTGATCTGGAGGTTTGGTATTTTTGTTTTTTATATGTAAAAAGTCAGATTAAACTCATGGGAAACATGTTTAATATGACAGTACATTGTTTCTTCCCCCTGCAGGAGAAGTCTTTTGAGTTCAGTTTGGGTCAGATACACAGAGTTTTTGACCATGCCCCTTTTTAGTCAATCAGTTAATCGACCAAGACTTTCTTTAGTCGGCCACAGCTTGACTTGTGCCTGGCACATGGTGGACAGATACATCATTTAAACTTTTTGTTCCTCAGATCCTGAACTACTGCGGTAAAGGGAAGGTGCGCGTGTCTCTGGTGTCGAAGAGTGAGCCGTACAAACCTCACCCTCACGATCTGGTGGGAAAAGACTGCAAAGATGGAATCTACGAGACCGAGTTTGGACAAGACCGGAGAGTGATAGCGTGAGTGCAAAACACAATACACCTGTCTTTGAGGCTTATTGTTTTCTATAGGGCTGGGTAATATAAAGGACTTGAATCAGTCACAGTTATTGATGTTTGCAGCCAATCCAGTGGCAGTAAAACTGTGGTTTTGAGCAGGTAAAGTGTGTGGCTAGCACTCACACTTCACAGCAACAAGATTCTGAGCACTGCTCCTGAGGACATGCTCCAGAGACTGAAGGATGCGTCAAACACAGAGACACATTTCCCCATGGGGAAAATAAAGTGTACTTTAAACTTTATTTGAACCTTCACCTTTTTTTCACCTATCTCCCAATCTCTGCCCACTGCTCTTTATTTAGTGGCAATCATTCTATTAATTCAGACTAAAGGTCATACGTGCAGTGTTCAAAGGTCACACTGACACCTTTTAACAACAAAACCAAGTGAGGCAAATTTACTGAGGCGACGCTTCTCTGATCTGCACTTTTGAACAGGAAGTGAGTGGTCCTGGTTCTATTTTCAAGCTTTTTAGATCAATGTTTGCAATGAACAAAATGCAAAATAAAGATATGTATAGGGGTGTGCAAAAATATCAAAATATCGATATATCGCATCGTCTGATGTGATGATACAGTATCAGTATCGTGGGCTGCTGTTTCAATATATTGCCAAGAGTATTTTTTGGTATATTTTACTAAATAATTTTGTTACAGCCACAGTTTTGTTGCTTGTTTAGTGGAAGGAAACTGATTAATGCAACACATTTGACATTTTCACTGTTTTGATGATTAAAATGTTAGTTTCATATGAACTTTGCACAAGAAGTGGTTTAACAAAGACTTTTAGTATCACAGCCAGGATTTATTTTTACTGAATCGTATCAAATCGATTTGAAATATATCGTATCGAATTGAAAGCTCACTGTATCGAGATATGTATTGTGGCCTATGTATCGAGGTATGTATCGTATCAGCAACTTCTTAATGATACCAGCCCTAGATATGTATATGTAATAGTTTAACTAGCTGAGAAAAAACATTTTCTTGTGTAAAAATAAATCTGAATCCAGGGCATACACATAAAGTCCAAAAATACTGTAGTCTACTCCTGATGAAGCAGTAGCATCTCCATGGAGTCAAGCAGGTAGCAGACACGTCACCCGTCTTTTGAGGTCCAACAAAAATGGAAATAAAATCAAATGGTGAAAAAACAGAATGGTTCCACCCGCAGTGTTGACAGACCACAAGACCAGTCAATAGAAACACAAAAGCTTTCGAGTAAATATCCATCCACTTCTTCACAATGACTCAACACACTTTCATGTTTCAATCAAACCTAATTAATGCCCTTTCTATTAATGATATCAGTCACTTTCACTTCTTATTATCAGGCTGCAAAAAAATGTCCAGGAAACCAAAACCGTTCTAATTATAACTAGCTGGTTCACGTAAACGACAAGGTAGCCCGAGGAACGATTCAGACTGGCCATTTGTGGAGTTTGCATGTTCTCCCTGCATCTGCGTGGGTGTTTTTTGTTTATTATTTTTTTATTTTCATGAATTTGTTTGTTAATCCTCCAGCTAAGGTATTCCTTCAGTAATAGAGATAAGAGACTCGGTATTTTTAGAGCAATTTGCGGCTTTAGACAATATGACAAAATTTGAACATCATTCCATTTTATTTTGTCTTAAAAATATATAAGACATCTTACAGTATTAATTTCCTGCTGATACAAAACCTGACTTTTAATCATTGGCAATTAAACCCTAAAAATGGACTTGAATTTCTTTCGTCCAAAGTCTGAAGTCTGCTGCAAATGCTGTTTTCCTGAGGATTGGTTGGCTATAGACCTCTTCATTAAAAAGACATTAAAAGCTGATCATTGACCATTAGAAACAAAAGAATCTTGATTAAAACGAGTGAACGAGTAATTTTGTGTGTTAATGCGTTAAATTTTTTCGACAAATATTGGAGTTATGTTTAGATTTGCTATATTTTACGAAGATATGGTGCAGTTTGTTTAGAATGAGACTCCATGAAGACACAGGGAGGGCATCTGACACACCGGGAGGGCATCTGACACACAGGGGCATTTCAGGACATGTTTGTAGAGGTCTAAACTACAGGGTTAGGAGCTTTTACACAGGATAATACCTTGTAGAGACGCAGGGAGTTTTGGTTTTTACCTAGAACATAATAGCTCTATAACTGCATATTTTACTAATTCCATTCAAATTAAACCTTTCAAATTTGTCTTAATCTTTTAGCTCTATCTGTAGTAGGCTCTGTTGCATCTTGTTTGTGATGATGCATTGTGGGAATTCCCCAAGTGACATCATTCTTATTTATAAAGCGGACGCTCAGTGAGTGCCCAGTTTATTATGGAAGTGTGTAATTTGCATCTATCATGTGGTCCCCGCTCGTAAATCCTTCAAGTTATTTTAAAAAGCTTTTCATCCTCTCCACGGCGACGCCTCTGTGCTGCTGTAAATTCAAATCATGAATGTGGTTTTTATGTGCTGAAAAAACAAGATGGCCGACCGGCTGATTGCGTCATGTTTTCAGAATGACAAACAGAAGAGGAACAGTGAAAGTGTTTGTGTCCACGACCCAACATTCACTTCATACTCTAGTAGCAGCACTTAAATTGTTTAGTAGTATTTATTGTAGTAGTTGTAGTAGTGACTGATACTTTGCAGTCACATCATGCTGGGGGTGGTCTACATGTATCTCTATGGTGAAATGTTCAGCAGTTACAGTACAGACGCAATGCACATATTTCAAACATTTTTGTGAACATAACCAAAAAGTTTTAAGAAAACTGAAGAAAAAATGTAAAATATATTTAGACACATTTTCATGAGCCTGTGGTCAATTCTCCTGTTTAGGTGTTTGATTTTCAACAAAAAGGTGAAATCTTGTGACCGTAATTTTGTGTGAGAGACTTGTTTAACAGTTTAAATGTTGCAGTTCCAACTAAGTGCCGTAATTTCCGGACTATTGAGCGCACCTGAATAAAAGCTGCATCAACTCAATTTTAATGAAACTTAAAAATTGTACATATATCGGCCGCACCTGAATATAAGCTACAGGTGTCCAGAACTTTTTCAAGTTCAGGCCGTCTGCTTTTATTGCCTATCGTCTTTTTGCGTCAGTTCGTCATGCTGCTGTCGCCAACGTCTCACCATCAACTTACTGATGCCGAGCTCACATGCAGCAGCTTGATTTCCTTCTTCGACAGTCAGATCAGTTGCCTTTAACTTAAAAGCTGCCTCATCATGCATTTCTTCGTGTGTTTTCCATGAGGAGGGTGTGTGTATGAAGCGCAAAATACCGTATTTTCTGCACTATAGGGCACGCTCATAAGCTTCCAACCCCATCAAAAAAACGACTGGGCACCCCACAATCCAGAGCGCCCTATACACGAATCCACTCGGGTGTCCAGCACGACGTCAGTAAACTACAAAGCCTCACCACCCGCAGCGCACACAAACACACACAGAGCAGACACCCACCACGCAGCGAAAAACACCCGCAGCCACACTCATCACTCGATGTCCTGTCTGGTATAATGTCAGTGTCTTGTAGGATTTCAGCAGATTTAGGTGTATGGATCAGGTATGAGTGGATGTCCGGCTACTGAAGTTTGAGACGTTTCTTCTCGTCATTTATGCACTCACCTGCATTTAATGCATATGAGTCATTAAGATGTATCCCACTCACTAATGTTCACTTAGTATCAAAACTTTTATCAACCGGCGATAAACTGTTTGAGTGCTGACAGCATCACTAGCTAATGTTGCAACTTTATGTTAACCCTTGATCCATGTGTTATCCGCACAGACAGCTGCACTTTCTGCACTTAGGTTGCGCACATCCTCTGTGTTGCCAAACAAATAATCTTTCCATCGTTGTATAAACCGCAGGGTTTGAAGTGTGAGAAAAAGTAGCGGCTTATGGTCTGGAAATGACGGTAAACTCTTTCTTGTCAGATTGAGTTAAAATAAAGATCAGATTAAAGTCTAACAAGCCTCAGATAGAGCAGTGCCTACAGTTAGAATCAAACCCCCATGGAATGTTGACAGCATCAACTCCAAAATATCAAGAGTTGTAGTTGACACAGTACTCGAGGTAGTAATTATAAAATGCCTGGTACTTGTAGTTGTAGTTGTAGCTGCAGACACTCTGACCACCACTGAGAACTCACACCACATTCATACTGGGCAAGGTGGCTGAAGTGTCTTGCCTTAGGACACAACGACAGATCTGATAGTAGTAGTAGTAGTAATAAATAGAATCAGACAAATTGTTGCTCTGTTCTGATCCATGTTCTAATGTAGTTTCCTCATCACAAACAGACCTGTAGTTTTGCTTTGTTTCATTCACACATTTAACACACAAACCCTGCAGATTAAGGCTGAGTTCTTCTCTTAAACAGAAAACACTCTGCTCCATCTTAAACTGTCATGTGATAAAACAGGAAGTGCGCTACACACCTTCACTAGAATCATTTGAAGATTTCAGCTTTTGAATTAACAATCTCTACCTAACTGAAAGCAGAAGGTAGCTGTTGAAATCTGCCACTACATGACATCAGAAGGTGGAATTTTGAGTTTTGGAGATGTACAGTGACTAATAATAAAGAGTTACTCAAACATATGTGAATGAAACAAAACACAACTCCAGGTAAGTGTTAGGTGAGGGGACAACATTAAACCACATGTTAAAGCTCACAAGAGTCAGTTTTGCGTAATGTTGGACCTTTAAGATTGGTTTCAGAATGAGTCAGGGCCTTGTGAGTTGCCAGGTTTCAGTTGACGAAACAGTGGTCACTAAGAGATAACTGTTGAGATCCACTGCTGTAACACAAACATACTGAGTGTGTTTTATTTTGTTGTCAGTTTTCAGAACCTGGGCATTCAGTGCGTGAGGAGACGAGAGGTGAAAGACTCCATCGTCCAGAGGATCACCAGAGGAATCAACCCCTTCAACGGTCAGTAACAGCTCTCATGTATTAACAAATGGCCTGTCATATTTATAAATGTCAGGATCATTTGGTTAAAGGTCATCTATTACACATAATTGGCTATTGTCTACTTTTAGTCATGTGGGACAATTGTTACCTCATTCCCGGAGTTGTGTTTTGATTCACGGACACATGTTTACGTGACTCTTTATTGTCAGTCTGACTCATAGACTGTAAAGAAGTGGACTGAGGGAGTGTGGCGTTACTAGAAGTGTGCAAAAATATCAATTAAGGATGTAACAATAACTGAAATATCGTGATATCTTATCATCAAAGTTCTCACAATAATATCGTTAGACTCAGAGTCTCTTTGCTTAAATTAAGAGGGAACTATATAGACCATGATCCTTTGCTCCATTTAAGTGCAGACTACTTAAAGAAATAACAGTTCTAAGCATTTTTAAGTCTTAGTTCTTTGGATTAAGTCTTGTCAAGGCATTTTATAAGGAAAAAGTAGAATATTAATGGTTTTGTTCAGAACCTCCACAAAATATCTCAGTAAATCGTACCGTGAGATGTATATCGTGAAAATATCATACAGAGAGATTTGGATATTGTTACATCCCTAATCGTGAGCCTCCCCAACATATCATGAGCTTTTCCCATATCATTTAATGTGATGATACAGTATCAATATCGTGGGCTGCTGTGTTGATATATCGCTACGAATTTTTCATTTATTTTACTAAATTAGTTTGTTACAGCGCTACAGTTTTGTTGCTTGTTTAGTGGAAGGAAACGTCTTCATGCCACACATTTGATATTTTCACAGTTTTGTTGATTAAAATGTTTGTGTTTCATATGAACTTTGCACAAGACGTGGTTTAACAAAGATTTTTAGTATCACATCCATGATTTAACCTTTATTTTTTATTGAACCATATTGAATCGATTTGAAATATATCATATTGAATCGAAACCTCACTCTGTCAAGATATATATCATATCATGGCTGATGTATCGAGGTATGTATCTTATCGGCAACTCCTTAATGACACCCAGCTCTAGACGTTACCTATAGTGTTCGGCTCCAGTCAAATGCAGCTCACCGAGGCCTGCAGTTACAGTTCCATATTAGGAATAGGAATTGACTTATAGACAAAATAGCGAAATAAAAGCACCAGGACAAGGACAAGTCTGACAGCAGCAGTTACAGAGAGATAATTCACTTCGTATTCGGAATGTGGCAGCTAGCGGGTTAGTCCAGTGCAGTTTTCGGTGATGTAATGTAAAGAGCCAGGCAGAAATTTGCTCAGTAGTTTCAGTAGTTTTCAGTCTTTTATTAACTTGTCTTAGATCAGTCCTTCTCAAATAGTGGGGCGATGGCAGAGGCATGTGTCACCTCGGGGATCATGCTTTTTTTTTTGTCGTTCTAGAATAGTGTAATTGCACATCCACTACAGTAGTTGGCAGTATAGTGTCGGGTTTTTGCATCAACAGTATGCGCACACACAGCACAGAGCAGGAGATACAAAGTGTAGTGAACAAACCCTCAAGAGACACCACGGAAAAATATTTAAGAAAGGCGGAGAAAGACGGAGATAATGAATCAAACGACAGTCTCCCGAAAGCTAAGACAAGGAAATATGACGAAGCGTACGTAGAGCTCGGCTTCACTGTGACTACGGTGGGAAACGAGGAAAGACCAGTGTGTTTACTGTGCCTAAAAATGTTGGCAGCATGAAGCCAAATAAATGAAGGCGTCACTTAAAGACATTACACCCCATCACGCTGATAAGACGCTTGAGTTTTTTCAGCGAAAACAAATATTGCAACAATCATCCCTCTTTGTGAATATAAATTATATTATTTAAAGAAAATCATTTAGAAGTGCTGTTTTAGATCAATATTGCAAATTAAAATGTGCTAAATATATGATCCTAGTGCAGACAAAAGCATCATATATCATCTTTAAGTCAAATAAATGTAAAGTGATTTCTAGATGTACAGAGATTAGTAATAATATGTACGTTTCCCTTTTATTCATTGCAGATAAGACCTCTCTCGCTTTCTCTCTCTGTCTCTCTCTATCTCTCCCTCTCTCTTCTCTCCCTCTCTCTGTTTCTCTCGTGTACTAACAAGCGCCGCTCTGTACTTCCTCATTCTTGGACATAGTTGCTCAATGATCCACGTGAGAGCCGGGAATTCGGATTTCAAACTGGGAGGAGGGAGGTAAAAAGAGAGAGGGGGAGAAGAGGGAGGAAGAGAGAGACAAAGGGGATAAGGGATAGAAAGAGAAGAGGGGGTAGATAGGGGGAAAGGACAGCTGAGAGGGGAGAAGAGAGAGAGAGAGAGGAGAGGAGGAAGAAGGAAGCAAGCTGTACGAGGAGGGAGAAAGAGAGAGGGAATGAAAGAGAAGAGGAGATGGATTGGGAAAGCACAGACCAACGGGAAAGAGAAGAGGAGGGAGGAATAGAGGGAAGGAAATAAGAGAAGAGAGAGACACACACACATAGAGAAGAGAAAGAGAAAGAGAGAGGGAGGAGAGGAGGGAGTGGAGAGAGGGGCTTCCCCAGACAGACATGATCACAGAGAAGGAAAAGTCATATTTTCATCTTTGCACAGTGAGTGGTCTCATGTTTGGGACTAGTCTCTTATATAACATTGACAGATTGATTTTTTTTTTTTTTTTGCCAGTCTTTTATTCTTGATCTCCCATTTAGTTTCATCATTTTATTAAAATTTTATGTTCTACTGCTTTTCTCTCACTTTGGCATTGCTACACTCACTGACACTCACTGATTTTCAGCATTAACAATGATAAATTAAAGGTCCTATATACAAGTCACTCCGGAGTGTAAGTTGCACTAGCCAAAAAATGCGTAATGAAGAAGAAAAAAAACATTTAAGTCACACGGGACTATAAGTCACACTTTGGGGGAAATTTATTTGATAAAATCTGAGACCAGGAACTGAGATTTGATCTTGAAAGTCATGTTCTAGTAATAACAATAAAAGAGAGAACAACAAACTGTTAATGTCATATATGAACAGTTCTTCAGATAATTATAACATAAACAACAGAACAGAACAAGTTTACCAAACTCTCCATCTCACTCCAAATCACTACCGTATTTTCCGGCACTATAGGGAGCGCTCTTAAGCCTCCAACCCCATCAAAAAATGACTGCGCTCCACAATCCAGAGTGCCCTATACACGAATCCACTCGGGTGTCCCAGCACGACTTCAGTAAACTACAAAGCCGCACCACCCGCAGAACACACAAACACACACGGAGCAGACAGCGACCACACAGCGAAAAACACCCGCAGACACACTCATCACTCCACGCGGACGAGGAATGAAACGGAGGAATGAATCGAAAAAGCGAGCGCAGTGTGCCTCTTCTAGACACGACTGAACAACTGAGTCACTGCGAACACGCCGACAATCCAGCGGTCCCAGACGGCACCCTCCCTACACGCCACAACTGAACAAAGCCCAGAGTCACCATGAGCGCGCCAAACAAACAAAGTCCCACTGACCCATCCAACTGTTGTGTTTCGTTGAAAGTCCAGTGCGGTTTATTTGTGAAAAAAGTTAGAAAATAGACCATTTAATGACAGTGCGTCTTATAATCCAGAGCTCCTAAAGCGGAAAATACGGTAAATCCATTCAAGTCTTCATCCTCGGTGTCGTCAGACTCAGCATCAGTTCCAGTTAGAATTATTCTGGCCTTTCTGAATCCCAACAGGATGGTTTCGGTGTCACTGAAGTCCAGGCTTTGTCCATCCACCCAGTGACTTCAGGAAAGTTGCACAGCGCATCCGCCCAGTTATCATGAAGCTATGTTCTTCATCCCTGCTTTCCGACCAGTCCCTCCCAAGTTTCTCACTCCAGACTTTCTTTCTGCTGCCCGATTACCGTTTTTGACTGAATATTTCACAACTTGCAGGAGAACAGTGGCTCTTTCTGTAGGAGACATGTGCAGTAGAGTGAAGTGACAGTGGTACAGGACGAACAGCAGCAGCAGATGACACACAAGACAAGAGCCTCTCGCTGCTGTCAGTGTGATCATGTTAATTTACAAGTCACACCAGAGTATAAATCGCAGGAAACATCCAAACCATGAAAAAAAGTGTTTATAGTCCGAAAAACACGGTACACAAAATTGAATCTTGTGAGTAGGGTTGGATATCATGAAGAAGTTGCAAATATGATACATAACTCGATACACAAGCCACGATACGATCCACTTTTCAATACAGTGAGTTTTCGATTTGGTACAATTTGATTCAATATATTTCAGATCAATTCGATATGGTTCAGTGTAGAAGAGGCTAAATCATGGTTGTGATACTTAAAGTCTATTAAGTCCACTAAGTTTGTACAGAGTTAATATGAAAAACACACATTTTACTCATCAAAACAATGAAAATGTCAACACAACTGTAGCTCTTACACAAAATAGTTAAGTAAAATATACCTAAAAATGAGTCTTGGCAATATATATCAAATTAAACAATATGATAGATCGATATTTCAATGTTTTTGCACACCCCTACTTGTGAGCTTCAATCCAAAAACAGACTTGGAGTTGCGTTTTGTTTCATTCACACATGCTGGATTAACACTTTATTATTAATCTGTCTACCTCTCCAAAACTCAAAATGCTCTGTTCCACCTTGTCATGTCATGTTAGTTTTCAAGTGAACAGCTTCCTTTTACCTTTAGTTCTGTAGAAATGGGCAATTCCAGATCTGAAATCATCCAAATGATTGTATTACTGTATTACCACATGACATCATAAGGTGGTCTGCAAGGTGTTTCCGTTTGAATCTGCAGGGTTTGTGTGTTAAACATGTGCGAATGAAACAAAACACAACTCCAGGTCTGTCTTTGGTGAGGAAATATTATAACATAGATCCGAAAATAGCGTAATATGCACAAAAACACAGCTGCTCTTCCTCTTGTTTATCCTTTACTATAACTGCACGCTGAGTATAAAACAGACTCTTGTTTGTGG